TAATGTGGGCATACCAAAGCGAAGTGAATTTCATCTTCTCTGGCCGAGTTACATAATGGACATATCCTTAAACGTTTCTCTATTGAAAATCGTCTGCCCTTATTTACTAATAAGTCTAACAAGCCCAATCGAAAATTTACAAATGTGCATCTGATATTTCTAGATGTCAATACAGATAGATATAGTTCTGGTTGAATTAAGCTCTTATGTGATCTATACAACTGATATCTTGAACTATTGTCTAGACGGGAATGCCATTCTTGATAATACATGCTAACAGATTGTTCTCGAAATTGCTTAAGAAATAGATTAATATTACCAACTGTTTGATTTAGCCACACAAATCCAAAGCCATGAGAAAATAAAAGATTTCTAATATGAGACGCCCATGTTGTCTTACCCCTATCATCTAAATGTACAAGCATGTTATAAGCTAGTTTTGGGATTCTTTGTTCGTGCATTCCAAGGATCTTTAACCAATATTTTAAACATCTGATTAGTGAATTTATATATATTGGATATCTACCGCATTCTCCATAAACCTTACAAGTTGGTGTTGCTTGCGCTACATTTAAAAATCTTTTACATGCTAAAAGGTGTAGTTTCTCTAGACATTAATGGCTTTGAAATTCCCAAATTTCAGACCCATAAAGCATAATCGGTTGGATTTGTGCATAAAACAATTTAATATATATTTTCGGGGTTAAAATTCCAAAATTCTGGGAAACTGACATAACATTAATAAGAGCCTTCTTAGCGCGTGATTTCAGATCTATAAAACTCTTTTTAAAGTTCATGGTATCGGAAAACACTAGTCCGAGATAGGTAAAGTGATTACCAATAGATAATTTTTTCCCATTCAAAAAACATTTTTTAGAGGCGACAGGCCCACCTCATCTAAAGATAACTATGTTGTTTTTTTAAAAATTAACAAATAAGTTCCATTAATTTGTATAACGTTCCAAAGAAATTCAGTTGGTTTTGGAGACCGACGATAGTACAATTACCTGAATTAGAAATATCATAATACAGTTCGCTAATAAAGAAGGAAAGCAATATAGGGCTTAAAATACACCCTTGCCGAACTCCCATGGGACAAACGAAAACATCGGTGACATCATCACCACAACGAACACATGATTTAATATTCAAGTACATAAATTTTAAAATAGAATACATTTTCCCTTGTAAACCAGACTTTCGTAAGCAGTGCCATAATTCACAACGATCCACAGAGTCAAAAGCTTTCTTAAAGTCAACAAATGCTACATAAAGTTTGTGTTTATTACGCGATAGACACTTTTGTATTATGCATATAGTGTAAAGATATAGTCAGTAGTTGAATAATCCTTTCTAAACGCCGCCTGGCACTCAGGGATTAAGTTGCTTAGATTTGACCAGTTTGAGATTCTGATGTTTAAAACAGTTGTAAATAATTTCCCAATAACACTCATTAAAGATATGCCTCTATAATTATCTGGATTGTCTTGAGCCCCTTTTTATGTATAGGGACGATAATTGAACAAGGCCAGCTTTCTGGAAACGAACCACTTTCAAATACAGTATTAAAACACTTATGGAGGAAGGGCATTAACTCGACTTGAGAACATTTAATCATTTCGATTATAATATTATCGGGACCAGCTGCTTTTCCGCTCTTTAAGTTACGCATAGCATTCTTTATCTCAACTACTGAAATTTGTGTTTCAAAAATCATTTGATCAACAGTGTCATAGTCATTCGAAGAGATAATATCATCATCGAAGGAATAGCCACTTTGAAAAACAGCATCATTAGAAAAAACTGTCTTAAAATGTTTCATCCATTCACATTTTTAAATATTACTTTTAGGATTTGATCGCTTTCTAAATGGACGAATTTGTTTCCAGAACACAGCAGGATTGTGGATAGAATCATTCAATCTGTTCAATCTTTGATTCAATCTTTGATTTTCTACATGAAGCTTTGTATTTGTTTCTCATTTTACAAAAATAATTTCTGTTGCTCTCCGAGCGTCTACACCGAAAACTTCTAAGTGCTTTGCACGCGTCACGTCGTGCAGTTTTACACTCGTCACTTAAGGGTGCTTTATAGTTTTGCTTACACGGCTTAGTCTTTTTCTTCATACAATCTGCTGAATCTAATATAACATGGACAAACTCATCTAAAGCTCCGTTTAGATCGAACTCAAGTTTTGATAAGAGACGGTCATTATAAAATGAAATCTTACTTTTTTAAATTTTCTAAAAATATTTCGCAAAAGGCGTCGTTCCAAACAATCTTTTCTTTAATCATCAATATGGTTTTTATCACTTGAGTTGTTTATATTTGAAAATTAACAAGTCAGTTCTAATGGTAAATGATCAGAGTCTACTGCGGTCTCCAATATTCATCAAGTTAATAATTGGAAGAAGTCTGGTGAACCAATAAAATAGTTATTGACACTTGATCCCTGTTGCCCATGAAATGTATATTCGCCTTGCGAGTCTCCATACACTTTACCGTTCGCTATGAACAGGTTGAAGGTATAGCATAAATCTAATAACAGATTGCCAAAATTATTAACAACACTGTCGTGAGAATTACGATCATAAATAGGATAGTTGTCATCATCAGCGCTCTCTTGGAATATATGACGATATTATCATCATCCAGACTAGGAGACACATTGTTTTGTTTTCCTGTACGGGCATTCAGATCACCACAAATAACAGTGTGACATTCAGCAAAGTCATGGAGATTCGCTAGCAGATATTGCTCCAGTTGTTCAATATTACATTTGTGATTCATATGCTTATAGTACGTTGAACCAAAAAAAGGAGGAATATATGTACACATCAAATTCATATCTTTGTCAAGTGAAAACAATTCCTTTAAGATTTTGATACAAATGAAATTATCAATATCAGATGTTAATTGTCTATACATGTTCCTAAGCGAATGGTGGATACAAACGCAAACACCACCCGAGTGTCTACCGTGATCTGACAATTTGATAGCAGGGCTATAAAACACGTCATAGCCATCCAACCAACTGTAAGAGGTGTCGGTAACAAATGTCTCAATCAAACATATAATATGAAATTTACGAAGATAATCAATAAAACTGATATAATCAATCTTTTCAGTCAACCCATTTATGTTCCAGCACAAAAAGGCGGTTTTCTCACTGTCAGTTTCAATCCGAGTAAGCGAATGACAATCATCACCGGTGTCATTGCTAAGAGGACCCTGTGATATAAATCCGGGCCTTGGCCGATGTTCTATTCAGATACAGTACTTGCAAGTGGCTGAAGGTCGTCACGACCAGTACGTGGCTGACGTCTACTTTGTGTAATCCTCATATGGGGACGAGACTGAGTGTGCGCACGTCCACTCGGTACCACTACAAGTTCACCGTTCTTGAAGTAACCGAATTGGCAAGTTTCTTTCAGATCGTGAAGTTGTTGACGTTGGCGTGTGGTCAGATCACTGGAGATACCATATCCATTTTCTTTCAGCACAGACCTAGCTTTCAGTGCTCTAACTTTGTCATCTGACATTTGCATCTTGACAATTATCGGGCGTGGCTTAGTTGAATCGGCAAGCTTACGCCCAAGGCGATGGGCTCTAATAACGTCAATCGGTTGCCACGTTTTGAACGTTAGGTACTTTGTGAAAAGGTTGAGAATAGTTTCCTTGCATGCCATTGATTTCTCCCCTTCGGCTTCCAGTACACCATGAATGATGACGTTGTCTCGACGGCTAAGTCGATCATGGTCAAATGTTCATCAAATCCATTAACCCTTTCATCCATGGCGTCAAGATCAGAACACATGATGCCATACTCATGTTTGGAGGCGGCGATATCTGATTTGATATCTGACACCGACTTCTCTAGTTGATCACATCTCGATCCCATTGATATTTCAGTTTTCAAGGCGGTGATCTGTGATGATAGATCTGATTTGACGTCACGTATTTCAGCTATTAAACAATCTCTCACTTCTTCCAAAGTGAGAGGGCCGGGGTTGGTTTCGATGTCATTTGCACACATCAGAAGATGTTTCACAACTGGCAATATTTCAGCCATATCGTGACGAGAGAACCTTATACAGCAATAAAAAAAGTATGATATACATATAAAGGTAATGAAATCCTGTCGCCAAAGGACAATACAACAACTAGTACAACACATTTTATTTAACACTAGTTAGAGAGCATATACAATAGTAAACTGTTAAGTGACAACACAATATAAAAATGGGCAATAGATCGCCAACCACTGAAGGTAGGTCACCATACTAGGTACCATGGGGACTTACAGTGACTTTGCACTACATGGACCCCTGCGTGATTTACACCATCCCTTCAGCAGCTGGCGATTGTTGGAAAATTTAGCCAAAATTAACATCACAAAAAATACTACGTTTTAAAAGAAATTGGTAAGTGTAAATGTACTTTGAAAGTTTTGGGACTTACGTACCCTCTCAGGATCGAGTATTGGTATCAGTTGGTATCAAAGTAACAAAGTAACGTCACCAGTCTTGTATTGCAGTATGATTCTTTAAACATCTGCTTGCATTGAGTTCTTAAATATTAAATCAGAAAAGGAAAGGAGGAAACAAGTTCTGGTTTATAGTAGACTCACTACTTTGCCATTTATTCAGACAGACAAGCTTGAACATGATAATAATTCAAGGTTTAAAACTGAATGAGCCTTATCATAGTTATTTATTTCGGAATTTGTATGTGGATAGTAGTGCAGCTTGAGTTAAGTTACACTCTCTGGTCACATGTTAATGTTAATCACATCGCCCAAAGTATCAGCTGAAATCGGTGTGAATCATTCTGAGTCATTTAAACCTTAGATGTCTCATATCTTTAAAGTACACAGTATGATTACATGTCTTGTCCATGACATACATAATTACACAAAAAAATCAAGGTCAAAATCCCTGCATTAGTGTCAGAAGATATCAGACAAAATGACTGGTTGCGTAAAGTTTGAGATATAGGTCGTCTACTTGCACAATCCTTTAGTCAGTCACTGCTAACAAACACCATGGCGGCATGTGCGTGGACCTTCCTTCCTTGTGTCCTATGTGTTGCCCTAACACTGGGGCTGGCTGACTTACCCTTCAGGAACACCTCACTGCCCTGGAGCGACCGGGTGGATGATCTGGTCAGTCGGCTCTCCATAGAGGAGATCCAGTACCAGATGGCGAGGGGTGGAGCAGTTAATGATGGTACTCCTCCTATCCCACGACTGGGTATCAAACCATACTCTTGGAACACGGAATGTCTGAGAGGTGATGCGTATGCAGGCAACGCGACAGGATTTCCCCAGGCTCTTGGTCTTGCTGCTTCATTTAGGTACGGCTTTTTAACACAAAAGTTCTCACCGGAAAAATGGGTATTTCCATTATCTAGAGATGCTTATTGCAGAGTAGTAAATGCTAATAACTTTCTCATGAATTTGTATTACATATCTATCCTTTACTATATCTTGGTTAGTAAGACACCATTAAACAACAGCCTAACACACAAGACTACCTATGCATGATAGTGAACAAACATGCATAATATCACCAATACCTTTGGTGTCTTCTTTCACCAATCCTTCAAAAGTGGCAATATGTAGCCAGCAAGAAAGAATCCAAGACAGGCAACCAGCTTATTGGACACTGAAGTAAGGGGTCAGTTAAGACAATATCCATGAGTAATAAGAGACTTACTGGCGGTCGTTCCTCGGGAAAGAACAAAGATTAGATCAATAGATGATCTTCTCTTTTCTTCCAAATTTAAGATACATATGATGTAAATCGTCATTTATGTACAAGTAATATTTTATTATCACTGAGCAAGAACATAACCGTATTAATAGTTAACTAAACTTCTGGATCAACACGGACATAGTCAAGATATCCGACTATTAACTGTTTGCAATATATCTCTGAGCCAGAAGATTTACCTCTAAGTAGCATTATCAATGGTGCTACAATAAGAGTTAATTTCGAATGCAAATTTCATCAGTATATGATAATGGGCTCTCAAGGAAAGCTTCCTCACAACTGTGTGTCTGACCAATTTAAGGTTGGCACACACGCACATGATCACGCACACGGACACACAAGTACACACACATCGATCTCAAAACCCTCTTATAACAAGCTTGTGGTACACAAATGACAATTCAACCTTAACGAAACGTTTCTTCGCTATTTCAGCCCTTTGTTGCTGTTCCAAATAGCGGAGGCAACTGGGATAGAAGTTAGAGCTAAATTCAACAACTACAGTGGACATGGCGTCTATGGTAAACACATGGGAGTAAGCTGCTTCAGTCCTGTCATCAACATTGTCAGGGATCCTAGATGGGGCAGAATTCAGGTGAGTATTAAACATGGAAAACTATCAACCGTTCTTTTTTAAAACAGTCGTCATTTAAACCTGAATCACGTATGGCTTAGGTTTCTTAAAAAAAAGTTTGCTTTATCAGTTTATTTAACTAACACCTCAAACTGGAACGTATATTAAATATTATATAATTGAACGTATAAGAAGTAAACAGAATATTAAACTGATACCCTACCAATAATATAGGTGCATCTGTTCATACAGAGATCACAACGTTGCATCGTCCAAAAGTGTATTGACATTGAGCAGTTCGACACAAGGATGATTTTCGGGAATTGTGCAAGTTTGCATTCCCAACTGAACCAAGAGGATCATGTTGTAATTTCTGAAACAAAGCCAACGAGTTCACAGCATTGCGATGAACGGCATTACATTAGTTTGAGCGAAGTTTGATCGTTGCAAATACTGTACTATTTCTTCATTTTTCTTCCTTCGTAAGAAAGAGCAAAGAACATCTGTAGGCACCTAAAGATTGTTCAAGATCATACGTTGTCCTGACAATTTCTTTAGCAACATTATGTTCGTATGCTCGAGACCGTTTCAGTTCATATCTGCAAACAAACCCAGATATACGATGATCAGTTTATATGAAAGGTGTAGCTATATTGATAGAATTTGCCTGTGTCTTAAAAATAGCATGCTTAACAAAAGGTACGTTACATCATTTTCTACCTTGATAACTGGGTATAGCTGTGAGAAGTCTTAGACATAACATGCCAATCAAAACGGTATCCAACCATTGTAGTCTCCCTGAGCGTGTACAGAAAATGAACAAGCCGAATACATATCACAGGAGTTCATAAGAGGAATGTCCATAATGAGTCAAGCCAACTTCTTGAGGTTTTTTATATTTTTTATGATAAAATTGATTTATGGAATTGGGAAGTTGATACTTTCAGAACAAAACGTATTCATTCACTCACACATTGAAACTATAGGAAACATACGGCGAAGACCCATTCCTGACCAGTATTCTAGCAGCCAGCTTCATCCAAGGACTACAGGGCAACGACACGCGCTATGTGCGCGCAAACGCCGGATGTAAACACTTTGCAGCCTATGACGGACCAGAGAACATACCTGTTTCTAGGATGAAGTTCGATGCCAAGGTAAAGACACCAGCAGGTTACACGAGAGATTGCAGGTTTTCACTGGAGATTCAAGGTTCAAATTTCTGATCTCCTAAGTTAAAAATGCCAAGGTAAACACGCAAAAAGGTTTTGGGGTATAAAGTAAAAATCAAAAAATCAAATTTAAGTTTAAAGTAACTGTTCTCACCAGTTCTGAACTCCCTCATGTACAGTTTATTTCAATCATATATCCAGGTAAGCGAGCGTGACCTTCGAACGACCTTCATCCCAGCATTCAGAGCCTGTGTAAAGGCTGGAACATACAGTCTCATGTGTAGCTATAACAGGTAAGTCAGGCATGAAAATACAGTCTCATGTGTAGCTATAACAGGTAAGTCAGACAGAAACAGACAGTGTCATGTGTAGCTACAACAGGTAAGTCAGGCAGAAACATACAGTCTCAGGTAAGTCAGGCATGAACATACAGTCTCGTGTGTAGCTATAGCAGGTAAGTCAGACAGGAACCTACAGTCAGGAACATTCATAGCCACATTCAACAAATAGTTAAAACAGAATTGTACATATATGCTTTTAATCTGGAAACAAAGAATTATTTTTTCGATTTGTTTGTTGGAAACAGCGTAAATGGCGTGCCATCGTGTGCTAATAAACTGCTCCTGAACGACATTCTGCGAGAGGAGTGGGGTTTCACAGGTTATGTCGTGAGCGACGGAAGCGCCATAGAAAACATTTACAGGGACCACCATTACGGCGATAACTACGTGGACGTCGTCGCCGACTGTGTAAACGCTGGATGCAACTTGGAATTGTCCGGAAAAGAGGAAAACCTTACATACTTCTTCATGGGTAATACCATACGAAAGATATTTCAATACTTATGCAGAGTAATGTTTCTTGTACATGGTAAAACGCTACAAATAAAGCATGAACACAGAATTTTTAAGAATTTCTAAGCTTGTCGTCATGCATACCTTTTTTTTACCCAGATAAAATGTGAATTAAGATACTTTATTCCATTTATATTGACGACCTGCATTAGTTCTTGATGGTACTAATTACACGTTTGTGGTATTATGACGTCTTGCTCAACGTTGTTACAGATTTCTGGATTAAAGTTTTATATTAGTATTCAATGTTTACATTATTCAGTGTTTACTCATTACAAAATAGTAAATTGTAAGAGAAAAGTGAGTAAGTGAGTTATTGTTTAACGTCACATCGGCAATATTTCAGCCATATCGTGACGAGAACATTTGACATTGAAATAGAATATATATAGATATTATAAAAACCTAGAATATCACAGATATACATGTAAAACTAGTAACTGAATCTAAAACATTTTAACTATTAGGGGCAATACAATATAAAAATAGGCTATAGATCACCAACAACTGAAGATAGATCACCATACTAGGGTCCATGGGGACTTACAGTACCTTTGCTACCTGCATGGACCCTACTTGGATTTACATTATCCCTTCAGCTCCTGATGATTGTAAGAAATGTTAGCCAAGGTTAAAATTACAAGAATACTACGTTTAAAATGTAAAGGAAAAAGATTCACTGGTAAGTTTGTCCGTTTTTATGAAGAACGTCCGTTGTTTTCAAATAGTTCCTACAACTAACCAGAAATACCTTTTTAGTATTGTATTGATGAATGTCATAAGTATTATTTTTCAGTCGATGCGATACATCAAGGCAAGCTCACAGAGGAAAAGGTCAGACAAATGGTCAAACCCTTGTTCTATACCCGAATGAGGTTGGGTGAGTTTGATCCCCCGGAAATGAACCCATATTCCAAGCTTGACCTCTCTGTGATTGAAAGCGAGGCTCACCAAATGCTTGCAATCGATGCAGCTATGAAGACCTTTGTCTTGCTGAAGAACGAAGGGAATGTATTACCACTGAAGAAAGACACTTTCAACAGGATTGCTGTGAGTATAACAATTGTATTGTTATATTAAGTTGATAAGTTACTGAAACATTTCCACGAAGCCCGTAAAATACTGGATTCTGAGTAGTTAGTGAAAGGTAAATAACATTAACCACCTCTGATCATACCAAATACAACATCCTTTTGTCTTCACTGTTTGTCTGGTATAAGATTAAAGGGGTGGTAGGTACACATTTTAGAGTATTTGTGACAACATAGCGATAGAAATCAAATACGAAGGTGTATTTCAGGTTATAGGTATAACAGAAAGTTATAATTGTTTTTCCAACTGTTGTCATGTCATATTTGAGTCACAACGAGGCGTCATGATTGTGACTGACGGTACAAAGCCAAACCTACGTGTACATGGTTGTACTATATTGCTTCCCACTTCACGTTGACGTTCACATTTTTAAAACATGGCATACATGCGTGTAAATCATACTGGTCAAATGCTTTTGGAATTTATATTATATAATAAGTATTTAATTTGATAAAAGTCAATTATTGGTGTTTCCTTAATTCAGAATGACAAAGCAACTTCGCAAACACGTTTCACAAAATATTTTCCCGGACACCAAGCTGTTTGTTTTGTTGTATCCATTCGTGACATATCATTTTTGAATATTTATAATGCGAACATATTCTGGTCTATATTCACGAAACATGATGGGGATATTGATTTCTACACGGATGAATGACCAGTATCCTTGATCACCTATTACCGCGAATAAAACAGAGTATTCCATAAATAAATCAAAAACACTAATGCTGCTGAGTTTCGGTATGTATTAGTGGCATATATAGAATTGTTCCCTAACAAATTATCTAATTCATCTCGTTCTCCAGGCTTTCAATCACAAAATAATTATCATTTTAAAATGGCAACAAAACGAATCCAAATAACGAGAAGTCGTTTTTAAGCAGTTGTAGTCAGCAGTATACACACAAACTCAACAACGGGATTCATACGAGTAGATTGTGGAGTCACGGGATGGTTCTAGGAACGGTTTGATTGTTGTTGCCCGCAACAGTATTCCAGCTATATGGCTACTTAATAAAGGGTAATAGCACCATATATATATATATGTATGTTTATATTGCAGTCTGTTCTTTATAGTGGGGTAAACCGTGTGGAAAATATGCTGATTTTAGAAAAAAAAACATTTATCGTGTCCATCAATCCAAATTGTGGTTGATTCTAAATCTTTAGGGCATTTCTAAACAAAATGTAGAATGCACTCAGATCACTAATAGTTGTGCTAATGGTCGTTTTAGAGACAGTAACTGCCTCTTATACGAATTCAACTGTCCATTCGGCATAAAGCAATGATGTGTGCTTAGCCCATTACAATTTTCACCTGTTATTTAGAAATTATATTTTGATGTGCACCTAGTAGGAAGGCGTTTCCTATTCTCACGGTACTTACGGATATCGGCTGAAAAATAACACAAACAATTCTTATCGTATGAATGCTTGTTGTTTTTAAATTAAAGGCCTTCTCCTCTATCATCTACATCTATCAGCTGCTAGATCCATCAGGTGAATTACCACTCGTGAGCCCGGTGATAAACAATACGATCCGCCATTGACGAAACGAGGCTTCTCCCATTCTCGCGGTATTACCAGGAATTAACGTTATTGAGTGTATGTAAGAGCAATCCTGCCGGAAAGGGCGGGAAAAAGTAATTATATGTCCAAGTTGGTATAAAATCCCCAATATTCGTGACACTGCAAGATTTTGATCACTTACAGACTTGGTCCACTTCCTAGTTACCAGTGGGTGATGTAAACAACCGGTAAGTGTCGCGCATTGGCGATTTCGGCAGAAAACGTGTTTACCGCGAGAGTAGGAAACCCGCGAGAATAGGAGACGGACCTATATACAATTACACTCTGATATCCGACAACTGCACATCTCCTGTTATTCGCCGATGATACTGAAACCATTGTCGTCACTATTTATGAATTACAGAAGCGTATCACCACACTAGCGCTTTTTCAATATCATTATTTACTGTAAATCTGAGCAAACAAAACTTGCATATAAAATGGTGGCAAGTTAACAAAACATGAAAAGGTTTATTGAGGAGTATTAGATCTTAAATAGATTACGCGCGTTTAACGGCCAACCCATTTTCAATATCTTTCTGTCTTCATATTTTGAAAATGCAGATTCACAACAATGTATGCACATACCATGCTAAGTCACACAATACAGTTAATCATATGAATAGAAATGCAGTTATTAATAATCATTGGCAATCTCTGATATAAGTTGTCTCTTCTCTTCTATGGCGATGGTAACATATATCTTTTCAGATTGTTGGACCCATGGCCAATAATTCACGTGCTTTGTTTGGGGACTATGCACCTGAAACATTTCTCACCTTTATACAAACTCCTCTGCAAGGACTGGCTAAACTGGCACAGTCTGTCAACTACGCAGAAGGCTGTGACGACACTTTCTGTAAACATTACGACGCGGTGTCCATCAAGAAGGCAGTCGCCATGACAGAAGCTATATTTGTGTGTCTTGGAACAGGTAAGTCGGATAAACTTGACATTCAACAACTTACGCAAAACAAACACCAACGGAGTTTCTAAGATGCAAATCATGTCCCAACAACCCACATTTGGTCTGTGCGCATCTACTCCTCTGCGTGTGTATCATGTCCACTCAATATCATGCTTACTTCAGGATCGGAAGTTGAATCAGAGAACAACGATCGCTACGACATCAACCTCCCTGGATATCAACTGCAGCTGCTTCAAGACGTAGCTGCTAACAGTCAGTAACATTTATTCTTTCTGATGGTTGCAATTTTTGCGAATCACAAACTGGTTTGAGTTTTGCTGAGGATCAAATGAGAGAAGTCTCAATCTTCCGCAATGATATGCAACGTAAAACGTGTAGTTTGTGAAACGTTTTGGCTCGAATTGTTGCTGCATCTAGTGAGATTATTGACAAGACTAATAAATACTGTTATGATCCCTCGAACCACATTAAACACCCATTAGAGAGTACGATATACAATAAAAGCATTCAATCTACTGCAGGTATTTCGTAACAAGTATTCCACGCAGCATGTGCTTTTAAGATGGTCATTGTTCTTCTGTCCACAGGAAATGGGAGCCCCGTAGTTCTCCTATTGTTTAATGCTGGTGCTCTAAACGTGACGTGGGCTGATCAAAGCTCTGACATCGCCGCGATCTTGGAATGTTTCTTCCCCGCACAGGCAACGGGGGAGGCACTAAGGCGTGTGATGATTAATGAAGGTCCAGGTTCTAATCCCGCTGGTAGAATGCCTGCTACATGGCCCGCCTCAGAGGACCAGGTAAGTATAAAGAGGATTTTTTACTTCCAATAACATCTTTATTTCACTGAGGGACCTATGAAGGTGATATGTTGCCATAATCACGAGTAAAATTGTTCACTTTGAAGGGCCTAAACAGCTTGAACTTGAACACAGCTTGAAATTTAGCAACAGTTTGATTTCCTGTATTTTGCTTTTCCTAGATATTTAATATCACCGACTATTCAATGGAAGGGAAGACGTATCGCTACTTCAAGGGAGATCCTCTGTACCCTTACGGCTACGGGTTGTCCTACACTCAGTTTAGCTTACGTCTTTCTGGAGACCCCAATAACAATCACAGCAGGACAAGATCTTCACGGCATGGTCGGTTTAGGCAACATGGGGAATATTGATGGAGATGAGGTTGGTTTTACTCCTCAACCTAACTTTCTCTCATTTACCTTGCGCATGTAGCCGTTTAACATATTTTTTTCAATAATGCGCCTTTCTTGTGAAATATATTTAACTATTCTTATCTGTTGGTATGATGTTCGTGGACTTTATATCATACATGTTTTAGACTATTTTAGATATCTCCAAATAGCAAAGCGTATACAATATTTTCAAATAGTGTATATATGCTGCAGAAAAATATATATTTCATCCAGGTTATACAAGTCTACATACAGTGGATTAATGCCACCCAACCGACTCCCCAGTTACAGCTGGCCTGGTTCGACCGAGTTACGATCCCTGCCAATGGGAACGTTAAGGTTAATTTCACCGTCTCTGCTGAAAGTATGGCGGTGTGGGTGGACAACAAAGGCTGGGTAGTGGAGGAGGGTAAGTAATTATTGTTTGAGCACTTAGTTACTGTGAGACATTGTCTGTCCTCTGTGAATAATGCTTTCTTCGATCATCCATTAAAGGAAAAAGTCTTCGCAGGTTCATTCACTTTATGGACGGGTTAGAACTACCGTCAACCTCCGTGTACGCTTGTCTTACATGGCGACTGACTGTGCTGGTGGTACATGGCTACGTGGATTGTGTGTCATCATTACTGATAACATCAATCACTGGTTTGTCTGGCCCATACACGACTATGTACACATCAATGCCATTTTGCAGGAATGTAACGTTAGACAGCAACCATTGGTGTGTAGCATTAGTGTGGAATACAGGTGTATACAGAAGGTGACATGCACTTTTTATGATACTCTGTCCCACTTTTAGTTTCAATGTACGCAAATTCATATTATTTTCAATTAGACGCGAATCAACTGTTACGTCTTCGTAACAATAGTAATAACTATTTTAGGCTATAGGGTGTTTGAAACTACTTTCGTTGGTAGTTAATTATAGGGGTAATCAATATAATTAACATTTCTCTAATTAATCAGTGTTTTCATTAAATGGAAGACTAGGAATGATGATACATTACTTAATTTCATCTGTCTTCGTGATCATCATAATGACATATGGACAATGTGTCAGTTTTTCAAATGTCACTACTTACAATTTCTTAGTCTGCGTCGATTACGTTAAATGGTCAACAGTTCATTGAAAGTAAGATAAAGTACTTTCTTTCTGCTGAACACTACCATTATATGCACAGTTTTAATGACGAAACAATTTCTCTGTATTAGTAAGTTGGCACTATCTGTAATATTAATTTGGCACTATCTGGTTTCCAGGGGCGATGATGCTTCACGTTGGAGGTCAACAGCCGTCCCAGAAGAAGAAAATAAGTTCCAATGTTATCAGCGATTCCTACAAGATCGTTGGATCGAAATATTTAGGACGATATTAAAATAAATTCCGTGCGCAGTACATTGTAAAGTACTGCGCTAAACAGCTGTTATATACTCTCACACACAACAAGAGCTTAATCTCTCATGAGAGATTAATTTGTGTAATATGAAAGGATCGGGTGGTCCTTTACTTTTTTGAGTAGCATAGATAAAAGGGAAACTGTCGTTCAATAAAGAAAACAATTTGTTTCAAAAGGAATAGCTTTATTATTATCATACTGCATTCGAAGATTAAATGCAGAAAAATGTATCGAATGCTGTCAGAAAGACCAGTATGACGTATGATCATCAAAGTTGCAGACTGACTATTTAATTAAGTACTCATATGAGAGTTACAAATTTGAAGAGTGTAGAGATGCATGTAGATGCACGTACATCATGCAGTGGAACAAAAGTTCAGTGGAGGATCCACGAGTGAAACTATCACGCAGTACCTGCAATTGAACTTGATATACAGGCCCCATTTGGATTAACCAGAACATGTTCATCTTGGAACAAACATATGATATACAACATATGACATTATTTGATACGAATGTGGGGTTCAAGTCAGATCAAAGACTCGTGTCGCGGCTCTCGGTGCTTTGCTCAGATATCCACGTACCAGAAATAATATATAGCAGGTTTTTTATAAGCAGTCAAGAAAGTCTTTTATAAGGGAAATCTAAGTTGGTTTCTTCATAGAGATTCCCCATGAAGAACGAAGGATCAGTAATTCCCCTGTCAGCGTCAAAACCAAAAGAGGTACAAAGGTAATATTTCTTGTTGCCCTGCCCTGTACGCATCACTTGGGATTAATACTGGTCTGTCTGTCGGGATCAGCGTGCACTGTCTAAGTGGGATAGCTATGTTATATGAAATAATCTTGAACGGGACGAAAAATCCTATTTTATAGGACTTCAGGTCACACTGAAATATGAGTGAAGAATACGTTTCAGTTGGGTTGAATAGTGCCAGAACTCTGGTTCCTAATCAGCTGAAATCGGTACGAAGTAGTCACTGAGTCTGTGCAAACCTATCTCATATCTTCAAAGTATACAGTATGTCTTGCCCATGACTCACATAACTGATTACGTAAGGTTGAAGATAGAGGCAATGAGCGCGTGCACCCAGTCACAAGTGACACGATGGTGCAAATAGTGTATCCATTGACAAGGGATTTTGTTTGAGAGACGCTCCCGTTGGTTTGAATAGTAACATAACTTGACATGCTTTGTCCAAAACAAAGTAAAATCGGTATTAAGCAATCTAAGTCAGTGTATACCTGGATGTCTCATATCTTCAAGGTACTCAGTTTGACCGCATGTCTTGCCCATGACATATATAATTACAACAAAAATCAAGGTCAAAATCCCTATATATGTGTCAGAATGTGTAAGATAACATAACTGATAGCGTAAGATTGGATATGTAGGCCGTCTACTTGCACATAGCTTAAATACGTCGCCTCTGACACAATGGCAACAGGTGCGTGGACCGTCCTTCCTTATATCCTATGTGTTGCCCTAACCCCGGGGCTGGCAGACTTCCCCTTCAGAAACCCCTCACTGCCCTGGAGTGACCGAGTGGATGATCTGGTCAGTCGTCTCTCCATAGAGGAGATCCAGTATCAGATGGCGAGGGGTGGAGCAGTTCATGACGGTACTCTTCCTATCCCCCGACTGGGTATCAAGCCATACTCTTGGAACACGGAATGTCTGAGAGGTGACGTGGGGGCAGGCAACGCTACAGGATTTCCCCAAGCTCTGGGTCTTGCTGCTTCGTTTAGGTACGGGCAATGTTTCTTGTAACCCAATGCAAATCAACGTCTAAATATTTCACCTGTGGATCTTCTTTCATATTTTTACATCGTCAACATATCTGACCTGAAATAAATGGTGTGAAACATATCTTTAAGGCAGAAGGTTTACCTCTAAGTACCATTATCAATGAAGCTACAGTGCGATTAAGGTTCAGAAGGCTAATTCTGCATGAATATTAGTACAATGTAATAGTTCAGGAGTTTCTCACAACAGCCTGTCTAACTAAATTAGAGGTTGGCACACTCACACACTCACTCACACGACCAACTAATAACAAATAGCTGAAAACTCCATTTTCGAATCGGATGATCCCTGTTCTTTTGCAACTTTTTAGAATTCTTCCTGAACGGAATCCTTTCTCTGTAGCCCTTTGTTGGTGTTCCAAATAGCAGAGGCGACTGCGGTAGAAGTCAGGGCAAAGTACAACAACTACAGTGAACATGGCCTCCAAGCAAGCCATATGGGAGTAAGCTGTTTCAGTCCTGTCATCAATATTGTCAGGGACCCCAGGTGGGGCAGAAATCAGGTGAGTTGTAAACGTGGAAGAGTATTAACGTTTTTCGAAAAACATGTTTTCGAGTCAAATGTGGCTAATGTTCCCATGGAAAGGGGTGACTTTAATTACACTGGCACCTTAATACTCGAAACGGTATAATTGAACGTATATTAAAAGATTATTGATATGACACGCTACCAATGAGGTATGAGCAACTGTTGATACATTCGTCCCAGCGGTGCATCGTCCAACAATATATTGACATACAGGAGTTGGTTGATGATTTTCTTTAAATGTGTAAATCTGTCACTTCCATACAAATAGATGAAATCCAAGAGGTGTAAAGGGCCTACATGAGGATGAAACAATGACATTTCCTACAATATTAAACTGGAACCAAATCAACTGTCCTCTTTCGGTTGGTCATTGAGCTTATTTAGTTTGACTCGATTGGATGTGAACATGATTGGTAATGATTTTGAACAGACGCGCAGAGTACCCACTTGGTAAGTTTTGTTTTAAGCAGCAAGTTCAATAAAACTAAAAGATCTAACAAATGAGGTGAGAAGTTAAGACATGCAGACAACTATGAAATTCTTTCAACTTCAAGCTATTATGATATGAAACTAACTGCATGGGCGTATCAATGAACTCATTTAGTTGGCTGGTTGTGAACGAAAGTGTGAAAGCCCCGGGTGTTATTTTCGTGTCACTCGTCAATTGGAAGAGTCAATACCGCTTCAATATTTCTGGGTTTCACATGCAATCATCATATACGTGATTATTTCAACTAAAGGTGCCACTATATTAAGATTATATCATTTATTTGCTTTGACGAAGTAACATGCTTTACGCGATTATTTCAACTAAAAGTGCCACTACTTTCAAATTATACCATTTATTTGCTTTCACGAAGTAACATGCTTTACAAAAGATATGTAACATCGATTTTTACCTTGATAACTGGCTATTGCCGTGAGTAGTTTTATAGGGTATAGCATGTTAATAATGCAACGCTGTCATTCAAAACCATTGAATTCACGCTGGGCATATACAGTATCTTAAAAGGCAAGACTCCATAACTAGGAGTTGGATGCCCATAAGATGTCATGATATAATTCATTGATGGAATTGTGAAGTTGATACCTTCAGAACAAAACGTATTTATTCACTCACACATTGAAATGTTAGGAAACGTACGGCGAAGACCCTTTCCTGACCAGTATTCTAGCAGTCAGCTTCATCCAAGGACTACAGGGCAACAACACGCGCTATGTGCGCGCAAACGCCGGATGTAAACACTTTGCAGCCTATGACGGACCAGAGAATATACCCATTTCAAGGAAGAAGTTCGATGCCAAGGAAAAGACGACAAGAGGATACACGAGTGTTTGTACAAGTGTCCACTGGAGATGAACAAAGTTAAAAGCCATTTCAATAATTAAATTAAAGTTTCAAGTTTCTGTTCTCCTCAGTTTAAAATGGATATCCAATTCTGCGGCCCCTCATTGGGTTTATTCCCATTTCACACTCAGGTAAGCGAACGTGATCTTCGAACGACCTTCCTTCCTGCATTCAGAGCCTGTGTCAAAGCTGGAACATACAGTGTGATGTGTAGTTATAATAGGTAAGGCAAACAGGAACACAAGTCTCATGTGTAGCTTCAAGTAGTTCAAAACTGAATTATACATATGGCTTCCATTCTGGAATTGCAAAAATACTATGGTTACATGTCATTGTTAATCACACAGCGTGAATGGCGTGCCCACGTGTGTCAGTAAACAGCTCCTGAACGACATTCTGCGAGAGGAATGGGGTTTCACAGGTTACGTCGTCAGTGACTCGGGAGCCATAGAAAACATTTACAAAGGCCACAATTACTCCGATAGCTACACAGACATCGTTGCAGACTGTGTAAACGCTGGGTGCAACTTGGAATTGTCGGGGAGAGACGAAAACCTAACATACTTCTCAATGGGTAACACCAGGACTAAAGATTTCTTAAGCTTCATAAAATGTTCTTGGCTATGATCAAGTCAAAATAAATATTCTAAAATCAATTATTCAATTGTAGTCTACTTTTAGTCCTAATGTGGCATTTTGTGGTATTATTGTATTTTGTATAACAACAGATTTCTTTATTCAAGTCATGGATATATATTTAAAATATTACGCAATCTTTTATATTAAATTTATGAGAGAAAATATTCACTTATTTGTTTTGTTATGGTCAAGCCAAAATAGATATTCTAAAATCTGTGCGTTTTTATGAAGAGCGTCTGATGTTTCACATATGCATAACATATTTAATATTTTCAGTCGATGCAATAAATGAAGGCAAGCTTACAGAGGAAAAGGTCAGACAAATGGTCAAACCCTTGTTCTATACCCGAATGAGGCTGGGCGAGTTTGATCCCCCGGAAATGAACCCATATTTCAAGCTTGACCTCTCTGTGATTAAAAGCGAGGCTCACCAAATGCTTGCAATCGATGCAGCTATGAAGACCTTTGTATTGCTGAAGAACGAAGGGAATTTATTACCACTGAAGAAAGACACTTTTAACAGGATTGCTGTGAGTATAACAATTGTTATTTATTATTAATTGTTATTACTTGTTATTTTATTGATAAGTTCATGAAAATGTTAGACAAAGGCGGAAAATACTTGATTCTGATTAGTGACTGAAAGGTGTTTAATAACATTTACCACCTCTGATTAAAACAATAATATACATAGACACGTCTTTTCTGGTCGTCCGTTACAACATTTAAAGTTGCAGTTACTATAAATTTAGTGACTGAGTGAGTGAGTTTAGTTTTACGCCTCACTCAGCAATATATATGGCAGCGGTCTGTAAATAATCGAGTCTGGACCAGACAATCAAGTGATCAACAGCATGAGCATCGATATGCGCAATTGGGAACCGATGACATGTGTCAAACAAGCCAGCGAGCCTGACCACTCGATCCCGTTAGTCACATCTTACACTATAAATTTATATGTATTTGTAACAATACATGTTTGGCTGACACAGCGATAGCAATCGACTTTGAAAGTGTAATCAGGTGCAACAAAAATGCTAATTCTCGTTGTCTCTTGTCATGTCATATCTTTTGAGTCATAAGGAGGCAGAGCCAAACCTTGAAAGGCTTACATGTCCTTTATTTACTTTGATGCTTCACACTTCATGCTGGCTTACCATGTAGATATGATATGCATTGTAATTTCCGTCAAAGTATATGATGAAAAGCTGCAGTGATTCATATAGCTACATGTTTTGTTGGAAGTCTATTATCTGTGTTTACTTAGTTCTGGCCGACGAAACAACTGAAAACAATGACTCCAACACGCTTCACCAAATATCTTCTCCGACTCCGGTTTTAATATAGTCTGTTAAATGAGGACGAAAAAGACACTGTGTATTGTTTCTGTTCGTGATGAATATTTTTTGAATGGACATTATTGAACATACATAATGCTGAATTATTCTGGTCTACACTCAAGAAAAATATCTCGCACAGTACAGAAATAAGGAATACCCTTAGGTCATTGGTTCTCACATCTATCTATTTCAAGACTATATCGTTAATGATGACATAAGATCACAATGAACACGGAAGACTGAAATACTTGATACCATGAATAGGTTAAAAACCTCGAAGGCACGTGGTGATAACAATTGTATTCCTGACTGACCCACTAGTATACAATTCCAACCTGATATCGTCCAACTATTTCTCCTGTTATTTGCCAATTATACTCATATACTGTTTATGGATTGTAGAAGCCTTCACCACACTAGATTGTATAAGAACATATTTGACATAAAATGTAGAAACAACTGACATTCTTGAATTTAAAAATGGTGGCAAGGTATCAAAACATTAAAAATGGTATTTGAATGATGTACAAACTGAACGTGTTTTCAAAATCTCTGTAACATGGATTCCTCGTGAGAGGATTGCCGCCCTACAAGAAACAACTGCTCCGTGGATTTCCTAAATCTTCAAACATGTTCATGCCATATCCATATTAGTTATTTTCAAACATATTTCGAACCAAATTTAGTCTAATTGTACAACACGCCTTTTCAATACCTTTGAATTGTCAGCAATCAGATAAAGGCATATTGTTGAGATTTAACGTTAGTTTGGTACAACGTGTGAAGCCCATTTCTGGTGTCCCCCCGCCGTGATGTTGCTCAAATGTTGCTAAAAGCGGCGTAAAACCAAACTCAGTAAGTCAGTCAGTTTAACGTTAGTGAAATACATTTTGCACTATCACGAATTAATCATAGTGTCTGAATACTGGACATGTAGGATTTTGCCTAACCCCATCTGACCAACTTCTTTCTGTCAACATTAACCTAATATTTATACGTCACACAACAGACGTATCAAATTCACCATTGCTATGAATGGCAATGCAGTTGATCGTGATCTTTTGAAGTATCTGCTACAAGCTGTGTCTCTTCTACGATTTCGACTGTGACCTATTTCTTTCCAGATTGTTGGACCCATGGCCAATAATCGACGTCTGATATTTGGAGACTATGCACCTTCTACATTCTACACCTTTGTACAAACGCCTCTGCAAGGACTGACTAAACTGGCGCAATCTGTCAACCACGCAGCTGGGTGTGACGACACTTTCTGTAAACATTACGACGCGGTGTCCATCAAAAAGGCAGTCGCCATGACAGAAGTTATATTTGTGTGTCTTGGAACTGGTAAGTCGGATTACCTGGAAATCCAACTCCTCAGTGGAAAGTGAGTGAGTGAGTTTACTTTAACGCCGCTTTTAGTAATATTCCAGCAATATCACTGCGGGTTACACCAGAAATGGGCTTCATTCACACAGTGTCTCCATTTGGGGATTCGAACCCGGGTCTTCGGTGTAACTACTAGGCTACCCCACCGTCCCCTTAGGCCAAAGAATATCTGAGCATACCGACCTGGACATTTCGTCTCTCTGAGAGCCAATCATTTCCTAACAACCCGCAACTATTGGTCATCTGGTTTGCACATCTACTCGCGCGTGTGTCTCATATCAACTCATTCTCATGCTTACTTCAGGGTGGAGTCCGAGGGCAACGACCGCCACGACATCAACCTCCCCGGATATCAACTGCAGCTGCTTCAAGACGTTGCTGCTAACAGTCAGTATACAATTTAAACCACATTGACGACCAAGGTTTGAGTTTTGCTGAGGATGTCAGAAACGTCAGTCTTTAACAGTTTCAGTGTTTGCTGAAATACGATCAATGTACCGTAAAACCTGTTTTCTGACACATTTGTAGCTCAAATTGTTCTTGCATTCACTGAAGAGAATGATCTGATATGACCTCTACGACAGCATTGAACCACCAAAAGGGAAAGGGATGCTTAATATTGCCATATCATCGCATTTCATCAACCGCAGATATTTCTAAACTAGTATTTCAGATAGCATTTTGATGATCTGTGTTCCACTGTCCACAGGAAATGAGACCCCCGTAGTTCTCCTACTGTTCAATGCCGGTGCACTGAATATGACATGGGCTGATCAAAGCTCCGACATCGCCGCGATCTTGGAATGTTTCTACCCAGCACAGGCAACAGGGGAGGCACTAAGGCGTGTGATGATTAACGAAGGTCCGGTAAGTAATGTACTGAGCACTTGGTCTCTGTGAGACCATTGTCTGTCCTCTGAGAATAATGCTTTCTTCGATCATCTATTCAAGAAAACATTCATCAGTAGTTCATACACAATATGTACGGGTGAGAACTACCGTCACCTTCCATGTGCGCTTGTCTTACATGGCGACTGACTGAACTGGTGGTACATGGCTACGGGGATTGTGTGTCATTGTCACTGATAACATCAATCATTGGTTTGTCTGGTCCACACACGACTATGTACAGACCGACGTCGTGTTGCAGGAATGCAACATTATATAGCAAACGTCGATGGGTATCACTAGTCAAGTATGAGTGTGCTTAAGGTGGCATCCACTTCTTATGACACTTTTTTCAATGTATTCCAGCTTTCGCAAATTCATATTATTTTCAATTAGGCAATAGTAAAAATAGCAATAATTGTTTTAACATACATGATGTTTGTAACTTCGTTCTTTGGAAGTTAATTATAGGTGTAATCAATATTATTATGCAAGCATATTTTTCCGGCTACCTGATTGGTCTAGAGGCGGGCACGTGACCGTCGACAGAAAAGCATATTGACTCCAGGTCCGACCAAAAGTCATATTGACCTGGGTTACTATGACGTCAAGTTAGGACGTCATTCACGTCAAGCTATGACGCCATTCTATTGTTTACATGTCACAGTATTGTTGACATAACGTTATTGGTTTGTAGTAAAAATACAATTACTTTTCTTGACTAATTGGACATGTTTTGGTTTTTAGAAGCCTTTCTTCGGTAATTACATAATAAAACAATTATAGACTGGCGAATTCGGTAAATACCTGTTTTATAATATAAGGGTAATGCTATTTTTGAGGGCATTATCATTTGCAGAAGCACGAGGTCTTCCATTAACTGCATTACCGTTATTATTGCTAACATTCATGGAATTTGTGTTGAAAAGAAAAAAGGAAACAATGAAGGAATTTGACTGTAAGTTTACTCAAAACCAACTTCTGTCGGGGTTGACTGCCCGAATGCAATTACGTCATCGAACAATTCAAGTGACGTCACAACAGAAATGGACGATATCCGACCTTGGCCTTTGACAAGACCATTGCCTGCAACATGTCAAACTATTTCAGTGTTCGATTTTGGTTCAACAACAACGTTAATAGTGCAATTGTTGAGGTTAGCACCAACAAGAAAGCCAATATTACCGCTATTTAAAGCGGGAGTTCGGGTTCCTTTGACTTGTTTGACCAAGAATATCTGCCAGTCCAACGCCAATGTCAAATGAACCGTAAGCCCACGCACCCACTATGACGTCACTTGACAACAGAACTTATAGTGGCCCGTCGTTAAGGTTGAACGGTCGAATATCATTTGCAGCGCCCCGCAAATTTCTGATAATGGGAGGGCCGTTTCATGATAATTCCATGTATTTAGCTATAAAAACAGGTATTGACCTCATCACCAGTCTATAATTGTATAAGATTAACTTTTCTCTGGTCAGAAATAAATCATTGTGTTCATTTAATGGGAGACAAGGTTGGAGAAAATATGTATTACTTTATGTCATCTTTCTCACTTACATACGAGCAATGTTTTTTTTAAATGTCACCTATTAATATTTCTTAGTCTACGTCATACTTGTTTAAATTGGGCAACAGTTTGAAAAGTCCATTGTTACTGCTGAATATTACCGTTATATGCACAAGCTTCTCTGTATTAGTAATCTGTCATTCTCTGATTTCCAGGGGAGATGATGCTTCATGTTGGAGGTCAACAGCCATCCCAGAAGAAGAAAATAAGTTCCAACGTCATGAGCAATTCCTACAAGATCGTTGGATCGAAATATTTAGGACGATATTAAAATAATTTCCATGCGCAGTATATTGTGAAGTTACTGCGCTAAACAGTTGTTACAGCATCGTCTGTCATGAGAGATTAATTGTTGCAATATGACAGGATCGGATTGTCCTCAATCAATAAAGAAAACAATTTGTTTCGAAGATCCCATGAAGATAAATCTATCGAATGCTATCAGAAAGACCAGTATGACGTATGATCATCAAAGTTATAGATTATAGACTATTAATATTACTCATATGAGATGAAGATATATAAAGAGTGTTAATATATACATGAAGATGCCGTACCTGAAATTATTGAACAGAATGAATATGGTTTCAAATGTTTATTCATCACGTTTATTTACGCAAACGTTCAAGTACCACATAAGTTGTATATTTCCTCTCGTCTCTCTTTAACGTTCTTATACCTTTTTCTCTATTTCTTCTTAGTATGTATAATATTGAAAATTCATGAATGTAAATTACACGCAGCGGGTATGTTAAGTTGGATAATTTTTCCCCAATCACTTTCACATTTGTGAAAAAAATCTGTTTAAATCATTTGTTTGTTCAACGCCGCATACAATAATATGTTTGTAAATAAATGCCTGGACAGACAGACTAGTGCTTGGTATTCTGAGCCACCGATTTTATAAGCACAGACCCTTGGCGACTTCTTCCGAAAGTGCTCTTCAATAAGAAGTATTGGGTTTTGGATATTCGGCAGAAGGCTAACATACATGTACCATGGGAATTCAAATGCGAGACGGCAATCCATAGTAATGTGAACAAGAAGACAAAGTCATCAATATTCCCCGCAAAGGCAAAATGCTCTTTATGAATATGTCTGCTAGTTATGATTATATCAAATGTTTTGGAGTGTATATAGCAATGTGGAAGGAGAGTATTGACAGGTTTTTAAGATCTGCTCCAGAAAGGAGCACTACCACCAAATTCAGTTGCAGCCTAACTTGTTGACATCTTCATAGTCACAGCCTAAGTCACGTTTCCATGGAAACCACAAAAAATAAATTTCATATCCGGGTCAAACAGTCACATGGCACATCTATGGATCATGCTTGATATGTGTACCAAGTTTGATGAAGCTAGCATGTATGGTTTGGAAGATCTGCACCGGACAAGATGACATCCTCATAGTCACAGCCTAAGTCATGTTTCCATGGAAACAGCAAAAGGTAAAATTCATATCTGGGTGTAACCCCCAAAAGGTACATCCAGGGATCAGGGTTGACATGTGTACTAAGTTTGGATAAGCCATCACGAATAGTTTAGGAGATATGGTTCGGACAAAGTGTGATGGACGGACGGAACTCGTTTCTATATCCCCCGCAACAACGAAGTTGTAATTACGTAATTGAATATTTGTCAGATGCATCTTGAATGCATCCTCTTTGGTGGTAATGTATAAGGAGACTTAACTATAAGTCTTTTCCTACAGATTTGTTTGGTACTGTAAAGTGCTTCAGCGTGACTGGTAGCTGCAGGTACTTCTACATACTTTGAAAACACGGCGCAAGGTTTGCACAGGACCAGGTTAAACTTGTTCAGTGGTTCAAAGGAAAACCAACAAGGTTAGGAACTATTAACCTGGTATTTTCTGGCGGTTCACAAAGATGAAATATGTAAGTGTTGAAATGGCATGCAAAAACGAAATAGGATTCGTAGGTAATGTCAATGACCATGTGTCCTTAAAATCACTTTGTTACATACGTCAGTATTTCTCCTGTCCGCATTATACCAAAAGACGTACAAAGATAATACTTGTTGTTACCCTGCCCTGTGCCTATCATCAGTTGATAAAAGTACTGGTCTATTGGTCGGGGTCAGTGTGAAATGGTGTATCCTTGTTAAGCTGTGTTATTATACAGGTAGTATTTTCCTGTATCACGATTGGTCAAAATGCCGTCACGTGATTGTCTACAAAACGCGATATTGACTTGAGTTATCTGATAAATTACGATATTGACTTCAGTTACTAAAAAAAGACGAGGAATCCCGTACGAAGGGGCTTCCCCTGCTTTTCAGCCAATCAGATCACTCGGTTTGACGTCATTCCCTCACGCGCTATTTTTAGCCGTTCAGCAATGGCTTCAGCGTTCGTCAATAGAAATCAGCCTTTCGCTGATATTACAGATGACAAACAGAAGGAGATTTTGGAAAATATCGATTCAAAGAATACTAAAAGGTCAACTAACACTGCTGTGAAGGTTTTCAGAGAATATCTACAACAAAGGGGTAAATCAGCTGATTTTGAGAACTTTAGCGAAGATAAACTTGATTCATCACTGGCAAAATTACCTGGAAGCCAGGTCAGAGAAAGGAGAACACTACAAGAAAGTAACTTTAATGTCTTATCGACATGGCATCCAAAGACACTTGGAAAAAACAAGAAGAGGAATAGATATCATCAGGGGTGCCAATTTCAAAGAATCCACGACAGCGTTCAAGGCTATGGGAAAGGAACTAAAAAGAATCGGTTGCGCTGAGATCAAACACTACCCACCTGCTGCAGAAGCTGATATGGCGAGGCTTTACGACTACGTGTGCAGCTCAGATTCCCCACTACTTCAAGAGTATAAGGTGAATATATAAAACTAGTTTTTAACACACACATGGAGTTTCGTAAAATCATCAAGGCAAATAGATCTAGACAATAGATTCATGAATAAACATGGATGCAAATAAAATATTGAATATCAATTTACAGATTTCCCAAATCAGATAGGCATGTTTTTATATTATAGGTATTCGTTGACATCATGCTTCATTTCGGAAGACGGGGGAGAGAAAATCTCTCAGTTTTGAGAATAAGCGATCTGGCCGTAACCACGGACGCTGATGGGGACATGTATGTTTACATGACCCGAGATGAACAAACCAAAAATCATCAGGAGGACGGCGTTCGGGCTCAAGGGCGAATGTATGAGAAGAAAGGTATGTTGTTATGTTATCAAATAGTGACATTCAATTCCAAATATTAGGCTTACTGTACATTATATCGACACTCTGGAAAGATACGTAACCGGAAACTATGACCTGTCACCCATTTGCTTTGTAACGGAAAAGGGAGGCAACTCTTGCTATCAAATTGTTTGCAGCATAATGTTAGCTAAAATAACGTCCCAAGTTCGAATGAAATATATGTATGATCACTTTTATCATTTATTATTATGTTTTACAGATTAAAGATAGTATGCAGCAGAGAGGGTTCGGGTGATCCTGGCACAGTCAGGCTGGTAAGGCTCATCATCAGCTCAGGGCCCTTGCCCCCCTCTACACGCAGCCCAGACAGCGAATGGGACTTCTCCCAGGAAACGCTGCCTAGTCGAACCCACCAAGAACTTTCCGGAGAATATGAAGGCTCCCCAACACTGCAGCCTTCTGCATTACCCAGAGTGTCAGAAGAGCTGTACTCCCGGTGGAGAACCCGGGCACTCTCCTGATCTGTGCCAAAAGATCAGGAGGTACCAAACCAAGGGCACCGAGAACAATGGGGAGCCTGACGACAGTGTACTTGGGATGCAAGCGAGACATTTCAAAGGCGAGGTCCGCATATTTATCATGCTTTTCCTTGATCTTGTCAATCACATTCCTGTCAAAAGGGACAGAAAATTCAATGATATAAATAAATTCATTGGCTTTATCAAAAAGGACAAGATCAGGTTTGTTGGCAGGAATTCTTCTGAGGCTGTATATGGGCCTATTCCACAGAAGTTTGAAAGCATCATTTTCCATGACGCCCTGGACATGTTCAGGGTCGTACCATGGATGGACCTCGGAGTCAAAGCCACAGGCATGTCGGAGACGGTAGTAAAAGCAACGAGCCATGCCATCATGTCGTTTAAGATATGCTGTTTGTGCCAAGGAAGGGCATCCACTGACAAGGTGTTGGACAGTCTCTGTGAATTCATTGCAAAGTCGACATTTCATATTAATATTCTCTTTAAGAATCACATTTAGGCGATTGCGAGTGGGAAGTGACTGGTCCTGAGCAGCAAAAAGGAAGCCCTCAGTTTCACATTTAAGACCAGCCGACTTCATCCAGGCGAAGGAGTCGGTGGGATTGCTATTCTGTTCAACACACTGCATGTACACACGATGCAATGGCTTCTCAGAAAGCTTCTCCACAAAAGACCGACTCTGGGCAGACTTGGTGAAGGACTTCACCTGGTTTACTCCCATCGCTGTACCGTCCAGCACTACATCGCCATCAGCAAAGTCAACTTCAAATTTCAGATTCTGTCCAACAACCTTGGCACGCTTAAAATAGCTGTGGAATTCCTTGCTTTCATCATGAGTCTTCACATGCATCACCAGAGGATCATCCGATAAATAAATATGTGCAAAAGTACACAATAAAATTCTATCATGAAGAGCCTCCACATTAATCAAACCCCGACCTCCAGAATTGATTGGCATATATACACGGTTAAGAGAGGGAACGAGGGTGGTGGGCTCTGTTATCAGACATGATCCTTCTGGTCAGGCGGTCAAGACTCTGGATGTCTTGTTTTGTCCAATCAACTACTCCAAAGGAATAGGAGAGGACTGGCACAGCAAAAGTATTGGTGGCTTTGACCTTGTTTCGAGCATTTAGCTCTAAGCTCCAGATTTTCTTTAAACGAGATTTGTACTCGGCCCGAAGTTTGTCTTGAATCTGGGCATTCTGGAGCTTGTCTCGAACTTGCATTCCAAGATAGGTGTAGGCCTGATCTTCCACAAGATGCCCAATAACTCCTCCCCCTTGTAACTTGACCGATCCATCATTAGTTACCTTGCCACGTTTCAAATGAAGAGTATTACATTTGTCCAGTCTAAATGTCATGCCAATATCATTCGAAAAGGACTCGACAAGGAGAACCTGCTCTTTCAAATTGGTATCTCCTTTGGCAAGGAGCTCGATATCATCCATGTAAAGGAGATGAGTAAGAGGTGTTTGGGATCTGTGCTGAGGAGGTCCGGGATGGTAACCCTCCTCTTTATTGAGCAGAAAGCTCAAAGGATTTAAAGACAGACAAAAAAGCAAAGGACTAAAGGAATCCCCCTGAAATATTCCCCTTCTGATTGGAATAGATTCCGAAGTCTGCACCTGCCCTTGCGAGTACATCTCAAGTTGAGTCGACCAGCAACCCATTAAAGACTTGAGTAAATCAAGTAGTCGCTCAGGGAGGTCAATACAATGAAGAGACTTCAAAATCGATTCGTGAGGGACAGAGTCGTATGCTTTTTTTGTAGTCAATCCAGCACATGGAGAGTATAATATTATTATTATTATGTTTTACAGATTAAAGATTGTATGCAGCAGAGAGGGTTCGGGTGATCCTGGCACAGTCAGGCTGGTAAGGCTCATCATCAGCTCAGGGCCCTTGCCCCCTCTACACGCAGCCCAGACAGCGAATGGGACTTCTCCCAGGAAACGCTGCCTAGTCGAACCCACCAAGAACTTTCCGGAGAATATGAAGGCTCCCCAACACTGCAGCCTTCTGCATTACCCAGAGTGTCAGAAGGGCTGTACTCCCGGTGGAGAACCCGGGCACTCTCCTGATCTGCGCCAAGAGATCAGGAGGTACCAAACCAAGGGCACCGAGAACAATGGGGAGCCTGACGACAGTGTACTTGGGATGCAAGCGAGACATTTCAAAGGCGAGGTCCGCATATTTATCATGCTTTTCCTTAATCTTGCCAATCACATTGGTGTCAAAGGGACAGAAAATTCAATGATATAAATAAATTCATTGGCTTTATCAAAAGGACAAGATCAGGTTTGTTAGCTGGAATTCTTCTGAGGCTGTATATGGGCCTATTCCACAGAAGTTTGAAAGCATCATTTTCCATGACGCCCTGGACATGTTCAGGGTCGTACCATGGATGGACCTCGGAGTCAAAGCCACAGGCATGTCGGAGACAGTAGTAAAAGCAACGAGCCATGCCATCATGTCGTTTAAGATATGCTGTTTGTGCCAAGGAAGGGCATCCACTGACAAGGTGTTGGACAGTCTCTGTAAATTCATTGCAAAGTCGACATTTCATGTTAATATTCTCTTTAAGAATCACATTTAGGCGATTACGAGTGGGAAGTGACTGGTCCTGAGCAGCAAAAGGAAGCCCTCAGTTTCACATTTAAGACCAGCCGACTTCATCCAGGCGAAGGAGTCGGTGGGATTGCTATTCTGTTCAACACACTGCATGTACACACGATGCAATGGCTTCTCAGAAAGCTTCTCCACAAAGACCGACTCTGGGCAGACTTGGTGAAGGACTTCACCTGGTTTACTCCACCATCGCTGTACCGTCCAGCAGTACATTGCCATCAGCAAAGTCAACCTCAAATTTCAGATTCTGTCCAACAACCTTGGCACGCTTAAAATAACTGTGGAATTCCTTGCTTTCATCATGAGTCTTCACATGCATCACCAGAGGATCATCCGATAAATAAATATGTGCAAAAGTACACAATAAAATTCTATCATGAAGAGCCTCCACATTAATCAAACCCCGACCTCCAGAATTGATTGGCATGTATAAACGGTTAAGAGAGGAACGAGGGTGGTGGGCTCTGTTATCAGACATGATCCTTCTGGTCAGACGGTCAAGACTCTGGATGTCTTGTTTCGTCCAATCAACTACTCCAAAGGAATAGGAAAGGACTGGCACAGCAAAAGTATTGGTGGCTTTGACCTTGTTTCGAGCATTTAGCTCTGAACTCCAGATTTTCTTTAAACGAGATTTATACTCGGCCCGAAGTTTTCTTGAATCTGGGCATTCTGGAGCTTGTCTCGAACTTGCATTCAAGATAGGTGTAGGCCTGATCTTCCACAAGATGCTCAATAACTCCTCCCCTTGTAACCTGACCGATCCATCATTAGTTACCTTGCCACGTTTCAAATGAAGAGTATTACATTTGTCGAGTCCAAATGTCATGCCAATATCATTCGAAAAGGACTCGACAAGGAGAACCTGCTCTTTCAAATTGGAATCTCCTTTGGCAAGGAGTTCGATGTCATCCATGTAAAGGAGATGAGTAAGAGGTGTTGGGGATCTGTGCTGAGGAGGTCCGGGATGGTAACCCTCCTCTTTATTGAGCAGAAAGCTCAAAGGATTTAGGGAAAGACAAAAAAGCAAAGGACTAAAGGAATCCCCCTGAAATTATTATTATTATTATTATTATTATTATTATTGGTTTATATCTTACAGACGATCCCAGATGTCCAGTGAGAACTTTCATCAAGTACATTCGTCGCTTGAATAAAGATTGTCCAAAACTTTTCCAGCAACCAAATTCAGAAATGGAAATTTATATCATGCGGTTCCCCTTGGACACAACCGGCTTGGTTCTATGATGGCGACGCTTAGCACAAAGTAAGGTCTTTCACAAAATTATACAAACCACTCCCTGCGAGCTACACAGTTGCCATCGCGGCATATTATGACAGTCACAGGACATTAAGCAGAAACCAGTCTGAAAACTTACACTGGTTTCACTGATGACAAGACCAAGAAAATGATGTCCACCGCCATCAGTGATATGACCTGTGCTCAACCTACTAGGGAGAAGGAGAACTCTTTGCCTATCCTCGGTGATCATGACCTAACAAATTTTTTAACTGACTGTGAGTTTGATGAAATCCTCTCCCTGTACCTGAGTCATCTGTTTCTGTGTCTGATAACAATATGCATGTACTTAATCACAGCATGACAAATAGACTGATGATTCAGATGCCAGGACCAGTTATTAATAACTGTAATGTGACCATCAATTATAAATTCAACTCTAAGCAGTAATAAAGTAGCTAGATGAACAATCATCTATATACTCAGACTGATATCGTCTCTTTAAAGATTTGTTATTTAAAAGTTGTCTTTGATGTTTCTGGTACATTTAATGAATTATTTTGATTATTAAGATGTGTTACGTAATGATGAGCTGTATCCCAGAGATGACACAGTGTGTGCATTAAAACTTTATGTTAAAACCTGTTTCTCTTTGTTTATATAATAAAACAATTATAGGTTTTTATTGACCTGAGTAAAACAATATCGACCTCGCAAGCTCGGTCGATATTGCTTTACTCAGGTCAATAAAAACCGATATCGACCTCTAACGGAGTCTGTAATTGTATAATATCGTACCTCATTGGGCAATAACTGTAGTTCATGTACATGCAGTCAGTACTGACGTGCAATCTCGTCGCTATATGAAATAATCTTGAACGCGATGGAAAATTCCAGTTTATTGGGCCTCTGTCCTGCTTACACCGAAGTCCATGCATGCTGTGTCCTTTGACAAATGATTTTGTTTGAAATGCGCCTCTGTTGGGTTGAACATTGACAGAACCTGACATTCTCTTTCCAAGATAGCTCTGAACCTGCTGAAATCGGCATGAATCAATCAGAATCAGTGTAACTGCAGATATTTCATGTCTCTTTAAAGTACACAGTCTGACCACTTGTCTTGCCCATGACATACATAATTACGAACAATCAAGGTCGGAATCCCTGAAATGTCGAACGATCTATGATAACGTAACTGATTGCATAAGGTTGAAGATAGAGGCCGTGGGTTCTTCTCACACACCACACAGTCACCACTGACACCATGGGGGTAGCTGCTTGCACTGTCCTCCCTTGGATCCTATGTGTTGCCCTAACGCTGGGGCTGGCAGATTTCCCCTTCAGAAACACTTCACTATCCTGGAGTGCTCGGGTGGATGACCTGGTCAGTCGTCTCACCTTAGAGGAAATCCAGTATCAGATGGCGAGGGGCGGAGCAGTTAATAATGGTACTCCTCCTATCCCACGACTTGGTATCAAACCATACTCTTGGAACACGGAATGTTTGAGAGGTGACGTGGCGGCAGGCAACGCTACAGCATTTCCCGAAGCTCTGGGTCTTGCTGCTTCGTTTAGGTACGTGCAATGTATTGTTTAACTCAATGCAAATCAATTTCATTTTTTTTAGAATTCTATGCATATGGTATTAACACTGAGCACGTATATAACCGTCTGAATATTTTACTGGTGGATCTGCTTTCATCTTTTAAAATAGTCACATATCTGACCAGAAATAGTGTAGAATATATCATTAAGGCAGAAGGTTTACTGCTAAGTAGCACCTGCAGTACAATTTGGGCTCTAAAAGCTCTAGGTCTTGCTGCTTCGTTCAGGTACGTGCGATGTATTTTTAACCCAGTGCAAAGACATTTTTAAGTGGAAATTCTAAGGTATTTACACTGAGCACGAATATAGCGTCTAAATATTTTACTTGTGCATCTACTTTCATATTTTTATCTAGTCATCATATCTGACTAGGAATAGTGTGAAACATATCTTTAAGGCTGAATATTTACCTCTAAGTAGCATTACCAATGAAGCTACAGTTCGATTTGGGTTCTGAAGGCTAATTTTACATGAATATTAGTACAATGTAATAGTCCATGAGTTAGGTCATATTGTGCTCTCATGGTAAGCTTTCTGCCAACTGCATGTCTAAACATCTGGAGGTTGGCACACTCGCTCACTCACACACACACTCAAAACTCCTCTTATAACAAATAATTAATAATAACTCCATTTTCTAATCGAATGATGCCTGTTCTGGTGCATTGTTTTAGAATTCATCCTGAACGAAACGTGTCTTCACTGTTGTAGCCCTTTGGTAGTGTTCCAAATAGCGGAGGCGACTGCGGTAGAAGTCAGGGCAAAGTACAACAACTACAGTAAACATGGCCTCCAAGGAAGACACATGGGAGTAAGCTGTTTCAGTCCAGTCATCAACATTGTCAGAGACCCCAGATGGGGTAGAAATCAGGTGGGTCGTAAATGTAGAAGAGTATTAACGTTTTCCGAAAAACATGTTTTCGAGTCAAATATGGCTTATGGTCCTATGGGAAGAGATAACTGATACCTTAATACTCGAAACAGTATAATTGATCGTATTTTAACAGAATATTGATATGACATCCAGCAATGAGGAATGCGCAACTGTTGACATGGTCATAGCGTTGCATCGACAACAATGTATTTACATAAAAGAGTTAGTGATTGTTTTCTTTAAATATGAAATGTATGCCAAGGTGAACGAGGAAGGTAGTCCAGTCATTTCTGAAACAAAAACTACCGACGATACCAATGGAATTTTTTTTCTGTCACAGTGAAAAATTCATTACAATGTTTTAATTGAAATAAAATCATTTCAAGTACTGTTTTATCATTATTCTTCAAGTCACTATACAAACCTAATAGATGGAATCCAAGAGGTGTAAGTGCCCACACGATAATGAAACAAATGAACTGAAACCAAATCATGTGTCCTGTTTTTGGTTGGTCATTGAGCTTATTTAGTTTGACTCGAATGGATGTGAACATTTTTGGTAATGATTTTGAACAGACGCGTAGAGTACCCACATGGTAAGTTTTATTTTAAGCAGCAAGTTCAATAAAACTAAAAGATCTAACCAATGAGGTTATGCAGACAACTATTAAATTCCTTCAACTTCAAGCTAGTATCATATTGAATAAACTGCAAGTGATTATCAATGAACTCATTTAGTTGGTTGGATGTGAACGAAAGTGTGAAAGTCCCGGGTGTCATTTTTGTTTCACTCATCAATAGATAGAGTCGATACCGCTTCAGCATTTTTTGGTTTCACATGCAATCATCATATACGTGATTATTTCAACTGACACTATGTTAAAGTTATAACATTTATTTGTTTTGTCAAAGTATCATGCTTTACAACAGATATGTAACATCGATTTGTACCATAATAACTTGATATTGCCGTGAGTAGTCAATGAGATAGCATGTTCACTAGGCAGTGCCGTCATTCAAAACAGTATCCAACCATTGTATTCATCCTGCGCACGTAAAGTTCAAATAAATCATTCATGGAATTGTGGAAGGTGATACTTTCAGAACAAAACGTATTTATTCACTCACACATTGAAACTATAGGAAACGTACGGCGAAGACCCTTTCCTGACCAGTATTCTAGCAACCAGCTTCATCCAGGGGCTACAGGGCAACGACACGCGCTATGTGCGCGCAAACGCCGGATGTAAACACTTTGCAGCCTATGACGGACCAGAAAATATACCCATTTCAAGGTTGAAGTTCGATGCCAAGGTAAAGCCACCAGCGGGTTACACGAGACATTGTGTATGTTTCCACTGGAGATGCATTTGGTCTGTAAAGTTAAATGCCATTCGAATTTCAATAATTAAAATCAAGATTCAAGTTTCTCTGGTCATATGACAGCGAATGATCTTTTTAATTGTTTCATGCAGTTATTTCACATATTCTTTGTTATAGCTCCGGAGTGTGGGGAACTTCTTATTGTAAGATTAACGAAGGTCTCCAAAGTAAAATATGTTAGTAGCAGTTTAGTTCTAGGTGAATGTGCAGCTTTCCATTACAGTTCAGAGTCGTTAAATACTGGTTTAGTTCAATTCAACTGGAAACACAGGCTTCCTCTTCATTGTTATTATATGTTAAAATCTCTTGATAACTCTGGAAGGAAACCCTAGGCTATGTATATAAAAATATATTCTATTTGATTTTTGGATTTTGTTTTGTTTTGTTTTCCCATGATGTATTAGTAAGATATGTATGCAACGATTTAAGCTTCACTTGTCAGATAATCTGAAACAGTGAAAGCATACCCCTGTTGAAAGTCTCCCCGAGTCCTTTACCAATCAACATTATAAGTCATTGCTAAATGTAGAAACTTACTTAACATTACCTATCTCACCATACTATAAATCTCTCTTAGCCAATTTTAGATGTGGTAACTTTGGATTGGCTATCGAAACTGACTGAAGAAATACTGTCTGTCTGTCTGTTCTCCTCAGTATAGACTTCCAGCTTTGCAGTTGTTCATATACATTTTATTTCTTTTCACACTCAGGTAAGCGAGCGTGATCTTCGTACAACCTTCATCCCTGCATTCAGAGCCTGCGTCAAAGCTGGAACATACAGTGTGATGTGTAGCTATAATAGGTAAGTCAGGCAGGATCACAAGTCTCATGTGTAGTTTCAACAGGTAGTTCAAGATTATAGATATACCTTTAATTCCGGAATTATGGATATATGTTTCGATTCGTATGGCGATTGTTACACTATACTATGATTACATGTCATGGTTAATCACACAGCGTGAATGGAGTGCCCACGTGTGTCAGTAAACAGCTCCTGAACGACATTCTGCGAGAGGAGTGGGGTTTCACAGGTTACGTCGTCAGCGACCAGGGCGCCATAGAAAACATTTACAAAGGCCACAACTACTCCGATAGCTACACAGACATCGTCGCTGACTGTGTAAACGCTGGGTGCAACTTGGAATTGTCCGGAAAGGACGAAAACCTTACGTACTTCTCAATGGGTAACACCATATCATTTCATTTCTTATGCAGTGATGTATCTTTACATGTAGACGTGTTAAAACAGAACATGAAATGGGACATTCCAAGGACTAAAGATTTCTTAACTGTCTTAAAGACTACTTTGTTATGATCAAGTCAAAATAAATATTCTAAAATATGAGCGTTTTTATGAAGCGCGTCCGCTGTTTCTAAATAACTTTCTCTTATTGCATTGATGCATAACATATTTAATATTTTCAGTCGAAGCAATAAATGAAGGAAAGCTCACAGAGGAAAAGGTCAGGGAAATGGTCAAGCCATTGTTCTTCACACGAATGCGGTTGGGCGAGTTTGATCCCCCGGAAATGAACCCATATTCCAAGCTTGACCTCTCTGTGATTGAAAGCGAGGCTCACCAAATGCTTGCAATGAACACAGCTATGAAGACCTTTGTATTGCTGAAGAACGAAGGGAATGTTTTACCACTGAAGAAAGACACTTTCAACAGGATTGCTGTGAGTATAACAATTGTACTGTTACACATATGTTGTTGATAAGTTCATGAAACAGTTCCACGAAGGTGGAAAATACTTGATTCTGATTAGTCACTGAAAGGTTTTACTAGCATTTACCACCTCTGATTAAAGCTAATAATATACATTGGCACATCTTCTCTGACTGAATCACTGTTGGTCCTCTTCAACATATAAAGTTGCATTTACTATACATTAAGATGTATTTGTTACAATACATGTTTGGCTGACACAGCGATAGAAATTGAAAGTGTAGTCAGGTGCGATAAAAAATGCTAATTCTTTTTCGACTGTTGTCATGCCATAATTTCCGTCAAGTATAATGATGAAAAGCTGTTGTGGCTTATATAGCTACATGATTTGTTGAAAGTATATCATCTGTATTTTCTTAGTTGCGATGGACAAAGCAACTGAAAACAATGGACCCATTACGCTTCATCAAATATCTTATCTGACACCAAGGAGTTGGTTTAAATATAGTCGGTTAAATGAGGACGAAAAGACACCGTTTCGTTCGTGATAAATATTTTGCAATGGATATTATTGAACATACATAATCCTAAAGTATTCTGGTTTACACTCTAGAAAAATATCTCACCACAGTACAGAAATATGGAATACCCTTAGATCATTGGTTCTCACATATTTATTCCTGACTGCCCAACTAGTATACAGTTTAACCTAATATCGTCTCTCCTGTTATTTGCCAATTAAACGTACTCATACACCGTTTATGGATTGCAGAAGTCTTTGCCACACTAGAGCAAGTTTGTAAAAAAACATTTGACAATAAAGGTAGTCAAAACTAAAATTGTTGTATTCAAAAATGGTGGCAAGGTATTAAAACATTAAAAATGGAATTTGACTGGTGTACAAATTGAATGTTATCTTATTTAAATATGTGTGTGTATTATTTTCAAAATCTCTGTACCATGGACACCTTGTGAGATGAATGCCTCCTTTCATGAAACAAATCCATCATGGTTTTCTTACATCTTCAAACATGTTCATGCTATATCCATATGGATTATTTTCCAACATGTTTTTAACACAATTTAGTCAAATTGTACAACACACCTTTTCAATACCCATGAATTGTCGATAAGGGATATTGCTGAGATTTTACGGTAGTGAAATACATTTTGCACCGTCACATATTCATCTGAACAATAGTGTCTCAAAGGCAGACATGTGGGATCGCTATGTCTTAAGTAAAGTAACGACTAACCCTGACCAACTTCTTTCTATCTATACACAGTGAAAAAGGTGCTGCAACCCCTGTCTGTTTTCCCAGGGTATGATATTTTTTTGGAGGGATTGAGCGATAATGGAATGAGTATTAGAACCCAGATATGGCATACACCAACAAATCAGTCTTGAGCCTGTAAACTGAGCTGAAATCGGGTATCCCCCGACGTCATGCTATGTAAGAATCTTGCGCTTAACTATTGCGTTCAAATCCAAGGAAAGCGAGTTTTAAGTGTGCTAAAACGTGAAAATTTAATGTCGAAACAAACGTTCTGTTACTTTGAAAGTAGCATACAGAGAGTGCACAAACAGTCAATATCGTGAACTTCCGCCCAGTACTTGGATAACAGTTTCCAGGCTTCGTCTCGTAACCCTCACCAGACGTCGAAATCGCTCTATGGGCAGCTGCTGCTACTCTCCATGCTATACCGCTTCCACTTCCCTCGAGATCTGTGGAAGGGGATCCCTGCGATGCATCAGGCGGCCCAAAATATCCCATGTGTGTTCCAGGGGATTGAGATCTTTACAGGCCAAGGAGGGTGAGTCAGCGCATACTGTTCTTTATTACATGGGTCACAGCTCGTGAACGACATGAACGAGCATCATCATCCATGAATATTGGCCTGGTTGCAAGTGGATGATTGTCAAAATGGGGCACAACAACTGGATCGCTTCCTGAATGCTTGGCCACTACATCCAACTTGCAGTCACGTGAGATGCAACCCCATACCATAACTGATCCACCTCCATTTGGTCGGCATGATGTTTCTAGGTGTTTAGGCTGTACCCGGACGTCTCCAAACTCTGACTCTACCATCCCTGACATGCAGAAGAAATCTGATCTCGTATGACCTGACGTTCCATCCTTGTCTCTGTCTACAACAGGCAGGAAGTAACTGCTTGTGGTTGTCTGTGTGTTGGTGTCGCTTGATGACTCTTCTGGACCTCAATCCATGAGTCAATTTCTCACTGTTTTGTGGCTGATTGGACGATGAGGAAGACATTGGCGTTTCAGGGTTACACTTGAAGCAAAGGGATGCCGCCCTACCAGCCTTCGCAATGCTCTGTCATCCCTGACTGTGGTTTTTCGTGGATTCTCTACGTCATAACTCTGCGCATGTTTTCTCACCAGGCGGCTTATTATGGAGTAAAGCTCTTTGAAAGAAGGACCTGCCCTGTGTAGACCAATAATCTGCGACGTGACTGCTTCTTGTATTCTTCCATCCGACATTCTGCGTTACAATGGATTAAACGTCCAGAAGAAACATTTTTATTGGCAAAATAGATCACATGAAGACATTGCAATTTGCAAAAATCATAGAGTGTGATATTCACGTGTAGGTTGCTACGTTTTGGAGATCGTTTTCACTACGAAAACATAATGACTTTAACACCAAATCCTAGCGCAATGGCTATCATCAACAACCCATTGGGGCGTTTTGGAGATGCCAATGTTACCAGAGTTTTAATATGAGGATGCAAAACTTTTTAACTGTGTATACATTAACCTAATATTTATGCGTCACACAATAGAGGTAGAAAACCAACCATTGCTGTGAATGGCAATGCGGTTATCCATGATCTTTTGAAGTCTCTGCTACAAGCCGTGTCTCTCCTACGATTCCGACTGTAACTTATTTCTTTCCAGATTGTTGGACCTATGGCCAATAATCCACGTCTATTGTTAGGGGGCTATGCACCTGATACTTTCCACACCTTTATACAAACTCCCCTGAAAGGACTGGGTAAACTGGCGCAGTCTGTCAACTACGCAGCTGGGTGTGACGACACTTTCTGTAAACATTACGACGCGGTGTCCATCAAGAAGGCAGTCGCCATGACAGAAGTTATATTCGTGTGCCTTGGAAACGGTAAGTCGAATTACCTGTAGAAAGTGAGTGGGTGAGTTTAGTTCAGTTTAGTTTAGTTTAACAATATCACGACGAGAGACACAAGAAATGAGCTTCACACATTGTACTCAAGTGGGGATTCGAACCCTTGTCTTCAACGTGACGAACGACTGCTTTATCCACTAGGGTACCCAATCGCCCCCTTAGGCACAAGAATAGCTGCGCATACCAAGTTACCAGCCTGACACAATCATTTCCTAACAACCCACATCTTTCGATCATCTGGCTTGTGCCGATCTAATCCTGTTCGTGTGTCTGAAGTCCACTCATTACCATGCTTACTTCAGGACAGACGATTGAGTCCGAGGGCAACGATCGCCATGACATCAACCTCCCCGGATATCAACTGCAGCTGCTTCAAGACGTTGCTGCAAACAGTCAGTATACATTTTAGATTATGTCGACAACCAAGGTTTGAGTAATGTTGAGGATAAGATATGAGAAACCTCAATCTTTAACAGTCACATCCTCTTGCCATATCATTGTATTTCATTACCTGCAGATGTTTCGTAACTAGTATTTCACATGACGTGCATTTTTTAATGATCTATGTTCCACTGTCCACAGGAAATAAGACACCCGTGGTTCTCCTACTGTTCAATGCCGGTGCACTGAATATGACATGGGCTGATCAAAGCCCCGACATCGCCGCGATCTTGGAATGTTTCTACCCAGCACAGGCAACAGGAGAGGCACTGAGGCGTGTGATGATTAACGAAGGCCCAGGTTCGAATCCTGCTGCTAGAATGCCTGCTACGTGGCCCGCCTCTGAAGATCAGGTGAATGGCTTTACTACTTCGTCCACTAACAATTTCTATTGCACTGAGTGACCTGTAAATGAAATATTTTACCACAACCACGAGTAAATTGCCAACTTTGCAGGTTATGAACCGCGGCAATATTATTAAATTTAGCAATAGTTTGACTTTTTCGTATTTTGTTTTTCCTAGGTATATAACATCACCGACTATTCAATGGAAGGCAAGACGTATCGCTACTTCAAGGGAGATCCCCTGTACCCCTACGGTTATGGGTTGTCCTACACTCAGTTTGATTACTTCCTCTTGGACAATCCCACATTGATTCAGGCGGGACAAGATCTTCATGGCATGATCGGTGTAAGCAACAAAGGGAATATTGATGGAGATGAGGTTGGTTTTATTTCTCGACCTAACTAGTTACGTGGTTATTTAGACCCATCAGTAATCTATGCATTTTTATGAAGCTCCTTTCGTGTTAGAGTTATTCTTCAGACTACGTGAAAGATGTTTTAGACTACTTTAGATTTCCCCAAAATATTTCAATAACAAACCATATCCAAACACTAACATTCACAAATACTACGGATTTTTTTTCAAAAAGTATATATTTATATATATGCTACCGAAGTTTAAATAAGTTGAACTATGTGTCCTGATACTTGTATTCCTCACTGTATATGTGCGATTAAAGGAACATCAGCGCAAATGAAAATATTGCTGATAACGTTCTAAGTTAATCCGAATTAAGTTGAATTAAGTTGAATTGTGTGTCATGTTACTTTTGAACATACATTCATTCATATACAATCTCTTAAATATGAATTGTGAGCGAAAGTGAACATTCTCGCAAGGTAGATATTTACATTTTGAGTTTTCGAAAAAATACTTTTCATTTTTTCATATATATAACATATTCATGATAACTGCATATTGAATTTTGTAATGCTGTATATTTGATCCAGGTTATACAAGTCTACATACGGTGGATAAATGCCTCCCAACCGACTCCCCAGTTACAGCTGGCCTGGTTCGACAGAGTCACAATCCCAGTCAATGGGAACGTTAAAGTTAATTTCACCGTCTCTGCTGAAAGTATGGCGGTGTGGGTGGACAACAAAGGCTGGGTAGTGGAGGAGGGTAAGTAATGTACTGAGCACTTGGTCTCTGTGGGACATTGTCTGTCATCTGTGAGTAATGCTTTCTTTGATCATCTGTTAAAGAAAAAAAGTCATCAGTAGTTCATACACTATATGTATGGGTTAGAACCGCCAATTTCCATGTGCGCTTGTCTTACATGGCGACTGACTGAACTGGTGGTGAATGCCTAAGTGGATTGTGTGTCACTGTCACTGATAACATCAATCACTGGTTTGTCTGGTCGATGCTCGACTATGCACAAATCGACGCCGTGTTGCAAGAATAGAGCGTTGGATAGCAATTCAACATTGGTGCGTAGCAATAGTCTGATACAAACGTATATGTGTTCTGAAGGTGACACGCACTTCGTATGATACTCGTATGTGCTGCAGCTTTCACAAATTCATATTGTTTTCTATTAGACGCCAATCAACCATTACGTCTTCGTAACAACAGTAATTATTTTAAGCTATAGGATGTTTGTAACTTCTTTCTTTGGTAGTTAATTATATGTGTAATCAATATTATTACCTTTTCTCTCGTCAGAAATTAATCATTGTTCTCATTAAATGGGAGACTGGGGATGATATACATAAATAATGTGATCTGTCTTCGTGATCACCATAATGACATATGGACAAGTTTCTCAAATGTCACTAATTACAATTTCTTAGTTTACATCATGTACTTTAATTGGCAACAGTTCACTGGAAATTAGATACATTACTTTGTTTCCGCTGAACATTACCATTATATGCACAGTTTTAATGAGTTTCAATCTTCTCCGTAGTAGCAATTTGGGACTGTCTGATTTCCAGGGGAGATGATGCTTCACGCTGGAGGTCAACAGCCGTTCCAGAAGAAGAAAATCGGTTCCAACATTATGAGCGATTCCTACAAGATCGTTGGATCGAAATATTTAGGACGATATTAATATAAGTTCCGTGAGCAGTAGGTTATATAGTTACTGTGCTAAACAGTTCTTACATATTCTCACAACCTCAGAGCTAAATATGATCATCAAAGTTGTAGACAGACTGTTAATGTAGTATTCATATGCGATGAACAAATATATAGAGTGTAGATGTACATGTAGATGCACATACATCATGCAGTGGAACAACAATTCACTGGAGGATCCACGGGTGAAGCTGTTATGCCGTACATGAAATTATTGAACAGAACAAATCTGTTTTAAATGTTTACAAACTTTGTTTATCACTCAAAACTATTTCTCTATTCTTACCTTGGATGTGTAATATTGACAATTCATAGATGTAAACATCAGGGGGGCTCGTATTTTAAGTTGGATAATTTGTACCTAATCACTTTCACATTTGTGAATAAAATCTGTTTAAAGCAAATCATCAGAAATCATTTGTTTTTCAACGCCGCACATAATAATATGTTTGTAAATATATGCCTGGACAGACAAACTAGTGCTTGGTATTCGGAGCCACCCATTTTATAAGCACCGACTCTTGGCGATCTCTTCCAAATGTGCTCTGGAATAAGAAGTATTGAGTTTTGGATATTCGGCAGAATGGCTAACATAACATGGGAATTAGAATGCGAGACGGCAATGCATGGTAATATTAATTACGGGGTTGAATATTTGTCAGATGCATCTGGAATGCGTCCTCTTTGGTGCCAATATATGAGGAGTCTTAACCAAAAGTCCTTCCCCGCAGATGTTTTGTACTGTAAAGTGCTTCAGCTTGACTGGTAACTACAGGTACGTCTGCATACTCGGGCACTGTAATGGGCATCCATGAACCATAATAATATATAGCAGTTATTGTAGAGCCTTACTTGGAGAGCGGAGTGTCAATAATTTCCCTGTCCGCATTATACCAAAAGAGTGAGTGAGTGAGTTTAGTTTTACGCCGCACCAAGCAATATTCCAGCTATATGGTGGCGGTCTGTAAATAATCGAGTCCGGACCAGACATTCGAGTGATCAACAGCATGAGTATCGATCTGCGCAATTGGGAACCGATGACATGTGTCAAACAATTCAGCGAGCCTGACCACCCTATCCCGTTAGTCGCCTGTTACGACAAGCATAGTCGCCTTTAATGGCAAACATGTGTTGCTGAAGACCTGTTATACCAAAAGACGTACAAAGGTAATACTTGTTGTTACCTTGCCCTTTACACATCATTAGGGGATATAAAACTGGTCTGTCAGTAGGGGTCAGTATACACTGCCTAACTCCTTGCTAAGGTGTGACATCGTACCTCAGTGGTCAAGAAGTCTGGTCCACACAGTCACGTACAGACGCGCTATTGGAAAACAATCTTGAACGCGATATAACATTCCAGTTTATGGGGCCTCTGTTCTGCCTACATTGGAATTCGTGCATATTGTGTCCTTGGACAAGTGTTTATGTTTGAAATCCGCCTCTGTTGAACATTGACAGAGCCTGACACTCACTTTCCAACAAAATAGTCCTGAACCTGCTGACATCAGTATAAAGCTATCAGACTGCAGATCTTTCTGTCTCACAGTGTGAATGCTTGTATTGACCATGACATACATAATTACAACTAATCAATGTCGGAATCCCTGAAATGTCGGACGATCTATGATAACGTAACTGATTGTGTAAGGTTGAAGACAGAGGCCTTATGCTCGTCAGCCGGCATTCAGTCACCACTGACACAATGGCAGGTGCGTGGGCCGTCCTTCCTTGTATCCTATGTGTTGCCCTAACCCCGGGGCTGGCAGATTTCCCCTTCAGAGACACATCACTGCCTTGGAGCGAACGGGTGGACGATCTGGTCAGTCGTCTCACCTTAGAGGAGGTCCAGTATCAGATGGCGAGGGGTGGAGCAGTTAGTGATGGCACTCCTCCTATCCCCCGACTGGGTATCAAACCATACTCTTGGAACACGGAATGTTTGAGAGGTGACGTGGCGGCGGGAAACGCTACAGGATTTCCCGAAGCTCTGGGTCTTGCTGCTTCGTTTAGGTACGTGCGGTGTATATTTAACCCAGTGGTATTTACATTGAGCACGAATGTAACCGTCTAAATAGTCAACATATCTGATGACCAGAAATAAAGTGAAACTTAAGGCAAAATATGTGCCTCTAAGTAGCATTATCAATGAGGCTACAGTACGATTTGGGTTCTGAAGGCTAAGTTTACATGAATATTAGTAGTAGTCCAGGAGTTAGGCCATACTGTGCTCCCATGGTAAGATTGGAGGTTGAGACACTCTCACACTCACTCACTCATCCACATACACACTCAAAACCCTCCTATAACAAATATACTAAGTAGCAAAAGAAACCGGTAACTGTAAACTCGTTTAATGTTTTGGTTGTATATTTTGACAACATCTCCAACTTTACCTGAGCAAAGACATTCCTTCACAAACTCAGAATGGAACCCAGGAAATAGTCTCAAAAACGCAACCTGATCTCGGAGATGGTACGGTGTTCTCCATGCAACTCATGCTACACGTGCTGTTCACAAGGACAGGCCCTATAAAATGCACTCCCAAGCCTGGTTGAAACATTCATTACAACGTCAGCAGGATGCCGCGATTCACGACAGCTCAGAGGAACCCAGCCTTCTGTGAAGACTTGAAGCTGGCCACACTGCACAAGCCGTTGTCAACCACTTCCAGGTCAACGTTCGGATCATCTACAGGCTGCAGCAACGTTTCCGGTCCACCAACACCACAAATGATCGCCCGGTGACCATAAGACGACAAGACCGCCATGTTGTGCATTTACAGAATCCCTTCATGCAGGCATTCTCACCCCTCGTCATCGGCGTGAACGTCTACAGTTTGCCCTACAACACCAAAACTGGCGATACAAAGCAATGGAGAACTGTTCTGTTCACAGATGAGCGTCGGTACTGCGTATCATCTGCAGATCGCAGAACAAGAATATGTGGACGACGTGGCCAACGTTACTCAGACCAATGTGAAAGATACTCAATAGGGGTGGAATAGTTCTGAACCAGAGATTGGGTCCTGTGGTGTTCCAGAACCTTGGTCAAAGGGAGGAGGCGGCATTGCGGCATTGAGCTACATCGACCAAGCTCTCAGACCCCACGTCATACCACATTTCGCACGTCACCGGAACAACATTTTTACAGCATGATAACGCCCGGGCCCATACTGCCAGAGCTACACACGGGACTTCCTACAGCACAACGGTGTCAACATTATACAGTGACCAGCCCTTAGTCCTGATTTAAAACCCAATTGAATATCTTTGGGATGAAATTCAGAGGAGACTAAATAATGTCATACCAAGGCCGAACACAGCCGATCTATTGCGCCAGGCCTTCCTCAGAGTGTTGTTCAAGGTGCCAAAGGTGCACCTCATGCATAGACGACTGACTGACTGACTGAGTTTGGTTTTACGCCGCTTTTAGCAATATTCCAGCAACATCACGGCGGGTCATGCATAGACGAAGAGTTGCCGTAGTTATTTCCGCTCGTGGTGGTCACACTAGATACTGAAGTCAAGGGTCTGAATGGACTGCAAACGTTCGCGTAATCTCTTGGAATTGTGTTATTGTGAGTTATTCAATGATGTTTCAAGATATTGTAGACAGGAAAGATTTTTTGATCCGCTTATTACTCCAGAAAATCCAAAACGTTGCAACCCGCATTGTATCCCAAACATCTAAAAGATCTCACATAACCCCTGTCCTAAAGTCTCTTCACTGGTTGCCCATCCAGCCAGAATCGAAATTCAAGATCTTGACCATTGTGTTCCTATGTACAGTGTGTGAATGCATGTATTGACCATGACATGCATAATTACAACTGAATCAATGTCGGAATCCCTGAAATGTCGGACGATCTATGATAACGTAACTGATTGTGTAAGGTTGAAGACAGAGGCCTTATGCTCGTCAGCCGGCATTCAGTCACCACTGACACAGACAATGGCAGGTGCGTGGGCCCGTCCTTCCTTGTATCCTATGTGTTGCCCTAACCCCAGGGCTGGCAGATTTCCCCTTCAGAGACACATCACTGCCTTGGAGCGAACGGGTGGACGATCTGGTCAGTCGTCTCACCTTAGAGGAGGTCCAGTATCAGATGGCGAGGGGTGGAGCAGTTAGTGATGGCACTCCTCCTATCCCCCGACTGGGTATCAAACCATACTCTTGGAACACGGAATGTTTGAGAGGTGACGTGGCGGCGGGAAACGCTACAGGATTTCCCGAAGCTCTGGGTCTTGCTGCTTCGTTTAGGTACGTGCGGTGTATATTTAACCCAGTGGTATTTACATTGAGCACGAATGTAACCGTCTAAATAGTCAACATATCTGATGACCAGAAATAAATGTGAAACTTAAGGCAAAATATGTGCCTCTAAGTAGCATTATCAATGAGGCTACAGTACGATTTGGGTTCTGAAGGCTAAGTTTACATGAATATTAGTAGTAGTCCAGGAGTTAGGCCATACTGTGCTCCCATGGTAAGATTGGAGGTTGAGACACTCTCACACTCACTCACTCATCCACATACACACTCAAAACCCTCCTATAACAAATATACTAAGTAGCAAAAGAAACCGGTAACTGTAAACTCATTTAATGTTTTGGTTGTATATTTTTGACAACATCTCCAACTCTACCTGAGCAAAGACATTCCTTCACAAACTCAGAATGGAACCCAGGAAATAGTCTCAAAATGCAACCTGATCTCGGAGATGGTACGGTGTTCTCCATGCAACTCATGCTACACGTGCTGTTAACAAGGACAGGCCCTATAAAATGCACTCTCAAGCCTGGTTGAAACATTCACATTACCATGAGCATACACTAGTGTGTGGAAACGGCGCCATACAAGTGGACATTATTATTATTATTATTATGTCCATTTCTGTAATGATTTGATTACATTGCCTATCTAATTTTGAATTCGTACTGGCGTTTTTATTGCTGCTGAGTATAGTTGAATACTCCATTTTCTAATCGGATGATGTTTGTGCTGGTGCAATCTTTTAGAAATTCACGGAACGTATCTTTGATGTTGTAGCCCTCATTTGGTGTTCCAAATAGCGGAGGCGACTGCGGTAGAAGTCAGGGCAAAATACAACAACTACAGTGAACATGGCCTCCAAGCAAGCCATATGGGAGTAAGCTGTTTCAGTCCTGTCATCAATATTGTCAGGGACCCCAGGTGGGGCAGAAATCAGGTGAGTTGTAAACGTGAAACAGTATGAACATTTTGAGAAAAACATGTTTTTTGAGTCAAATATAGCTAATGTTCCCGTGGAACGGGATGTCTTTTATTACACTGACACCTTAATACTCGAAACGGTATAACTGAACGTCTGTTAACAGAATATTGCCATAACACACCACCAGTGAGGTATGTGCAACTGTTGATAGTCGTCCCAGCGGTGCATCGTCCAACAATATTAAATTGTAACCAAATCCTCTTTTTGTAGTTAATGAAAACATGATTATAAAACAATTGCAAACCAAATCAAGTATCCTCTTTTGGTTGGTCATTGAGCTCATTTCGATTGGGAGTGAACATTACTGTAAATGATTTTGAACAGACGCGCAGAGTAATTTTTGCTTTAAGCAGAAAACTGAAAGAACTAAAGAATGAGAAGAGAAGTTAACTATTAAATTCCTTCAACTTCAAGCTAGTATTATATGAAATCATTTAGTTGGCTGGATGTGAGCGAAAGTGTGAAAGTCCCGGGTGTTATTTCGTTCCGCTCGTCAATAGAAAGAGTCGATACTACTTCTACATTTTGGAGTTTCACAGGCAATCATCATATACGTACGACCCGGGTTCGAATCCCCAAATGGGCACATTGTGTAAAGCCCATTAATGGTGTCCCCCGCCGTGATATTGGTGGAATATTGCTAAAAGCGGCGTAAAACCCAACTCACTCACTCACTCATATACATGATTTCAACTAAAAGGAGCCACTATATTGAAATTATATCATGTATTTGTTTTGACAAACTAGCATGTTTTACAAAAGATATGTAACATCGATTTTTACCATGATAACTGGGTATTTCTCAGTGAGTTGTCAATGAGATGTTCATGTTCATAAACAATCAAAACAGTATCCAACCATTGTATTCACTCTGCGCATTTTTCAGCATTTACAGGCAAGAGTCCATAACATAATAAGCCATGATATAATTCATTGATGGAATTGCGAAGGAGATACTTTGGAAACAAAAAGTTTTAATTCACTCACATATTGAACCTATAGGAAACATATGGAGAAGACCCATTCCTGACCAGTATTCTAGCAGCCAGCTTCATCCAAGGACTACAGGGCAACGACACGCGCTATGTGCGCGCAAACGCCGGATGTAAACACTTTGCAGCCTATGACGGGCCAGAGAATATACCCATTTCAAGGATGAAGTTCGATGCCAAGGTAAAGACGCCAGCAGGTTACACGAGAGATTGTACAAGTTTACACTGGAGATAAATTTAGGCTGTAAAGTGGACATCTAGTTCTGCAGTATCTCATATTAAGTTTATTTCTGTTTTCACACTCAGGTAAGCGAGCGCGACCTTCGAACGACCTTCCTCCCTGCCTTCAGAGCTTGTGTCAAGGCTGGAACATACAGTGTGATGTGTAGCTATAACAGGTAAGTCAGACAAAAACATACAGTGTCATGTGTAGCTACAGCACATAGTTTAAAACCGAACTGTGTCTATAATTTACATTCTGGAATCATTTTTGGGGGATGGCGAACAAATGGCACAAAGATGCAGTTACATTATACTATGGTTACATATCATTGTTTTTTCACAGCGTGAATGGTGTACCAACGTGTGTCAGTAAACAGCTCCTGAACGACATTCTGCGAGAGGAGTGGGGTTTCACAGGTTACGTCGTCAGCGACTCTGGCGCCATAGAAAACATTTGCAAAGGCCACAACTACTCCGATAGCTACACAGACATCGTCGCTGACTGTGTGAACGCTGGATGCAACTTGGAATTGTCTGGAAAAGACGAAAACCTTACGTACTTCTCAATGGGTATCACCATACTATTTCAGTTCTTCTGCAGTAATGTTTCTTGCACCTAGAGACATGTTAAGTCGAACATGACATAGGAAGACACATACCAATGACTACAGAATTCTTAAGGAGTAATTGGTTATGACCCAGTCAAAATATATATTCTAAGATCGATTTCTCCGTTTTAGTCAACTTCTTGCTTGGCAGTACTAATTCCACGTTTTCTGGTATTATGCATCTTGCACAACGTTCTTACACAAATATAAATCAAGTTATGCATTTAAATTATATATTACGTAACCTTTTATACTAAATTTATGAGAGAAAAGGTTCACTTACTGTCCGTTATTATGAGGAGTGGTCGATGCTTCAAAATAACTTTCTATTACTGTATTGATGCATAACATATTCATATTTTCAGTCGATGCCATAGATCAATTCAAACTCACAGAGGAAAAGGTCAGAGAAATGGTTAAGCCCTTGTTCTATACCCGAATGAGGTTGGGCGAGTTTGATCCCCCGGAAATGAACCCATATTCCAAGCTTGACCTCTCTGTGATTGAAAGCGGGGCCCACCAAAAGCTTGCAATGAACGCAGCTATGAAGACCTTTGTATTGCTGAAGAACGAAGGACATTTATTACCATTGAAGAAGGACACTTTCAACAGAATTGCTGTGAGTATTATAATAATTGTACTGTAATATATTATTGATAGCTACAGGAAATTATCTGTGTTTCCATAGTTCGGGTGAACAAAGCAAATGAAAACAATGAACCCAACACGCTTCGCGAAACACCATGGAAATGGTTTCAATGTAATCTGTTATAAAGGAAGAACATAACACTGTGTATCCTGTCCGTTTATGATAAATCATTATTCAATAATACTGATGCTGAAGTATTCTGGTCTACACCCAAAACAAATATCTCCCGACAGTACAGAAATACACTTAGGTCACTGGTCCTCACATCTATCTATTTCACGACTGTAACGTTCATGATATAAGATCACGAGTGGGTGGTGATGTTGATTTCGACTCGGAGCAATGTAATATATGATTTCATTAATAGATTAAAAAACCCAAAGGCACCTAGCGATAACAATTTTATTCCTGACTGTCTTGAAATATTGCATTGATGTATTAGCATCATATATTGAAGTGTTCTTTAACATATTATTTGATTCCTTTCGTTTATTATGTATAATCGTTTAAAGAGGGCAGCAAAACAATCCAAATAGCTACAGAGGCATATCTTTTTAAGCCCTAAAGTAAGCTGTACACCCCTATAGTAAATAACACGGTCGATTCAGACGATTTTGTTTTGTTTAGTTTGTCGTTTAACGCCACACTCAGCAATATCCCAGCCATGTGATTCATAAGAGAATCATAAGAGAAGGAAAGGTTGTAGCACAATGGATGT